AATTCTATCCGAATTGGCAAAACGAACAACTTCGACTAGCTATCACTGATTTGTAGTGAGCCATTTGAATGGCAGCTCTTCCCATAAGTACCAAGTGCGGTCGAATTATAATCGGGTAACTCAAAAGGGTCAGTTGACCCTGATATTTCTTTTCTCGCCTCCTTGCTGTATCCCTCAGCGACCTAGGAGTCGTAATCGAGCGCTGGTCCTGCGTTATTTCTACCTAGTCTTCTCTTGTGGAGCTTTGCTTTTCCTAATAGCAATAGTCCTAGCCGACTCAGGCGAATCGGGACACGAAAGCGTTTCGAAGAGCGATGCCGACAGATGTTCACGAGGCCTCATCCTAACTCGCGTCGTGAATGCCGTCTATGCACCGCTACTACTTCGACCACTCGAGTTCCGACTCAGTTCGTTTCAGCCTCTTGCGTTAACAACAAAGCAGCTACACGCTTCACTGTACACAACAGCTAAAAGTTCAGACTTTGGTAGAATTTTGCGGTACCTGAATCGCCAGCGAGCTAAACGCTCGACCTGTATCCATGCCTTAGAAACAATAGTTCGCGCAGCAGCAGCACACGAGGCACAGCTGCGCAAAGGCAATGACTACACAGCGTAGCTTCGATCAAACATGATCATCCCGTGTCGATATATACACATAAATTATATCTGATTTTACTCTGTGTATCGTGTCCGTGGTACCCTTAAATAAGATGATCTATGTATATGGGGTGCACAGGGTCGAATAGCAACATTATGAGTCTCTTTCCTCTCTGGGGTGTGAGAAGGCACGCGGGCGTATCATATGAGAAAACTCATGAAGAAAGAAGTTTTGCTAGTTCCACTAAAAATAAAGACGATCCTAAATACTTTAACTGTGTTCAGGTTGGCTGAACTGACGGCGTAATAAACACCTAGGTAGCTAAAACATGCAAATGTTTCAGTTATCAATCCTACAGGACTATTTTGAACAGATTATAAAATACAAAAACCACAAATTAGTGTCTCGCATCGTTTAATTTTTTCATAATTGCATTGTCAATAAGTGCGCGTAGTGGACTTAGAACTGTTTAGGCCATTCCTATTTAACGACAGAGTTTTTATTAAATATGGTTGTTTATTTTCATAGAACTCTTGACAGTACTCAGGTTTTTATTCAGATACACCAAAATAAGTAAGTTTTTGTCTTCTGACGATCTGTTTTAGGGTTTTTCACCTGCAGCTGCAAACCTCTGATCGATAATGCTGTTGCAGCGGAGCTCCAATGGCACAGTATTGGCAATATATGGCTCAATATAAAACCTTTTAATTAATTACTGCCAATTATTCCATATTTTCCGCATTTCACTTCCGTTCTATATTCACCAAAAGGTGCCGTGAGCTTACTGCGCCTGTCGTCAACTACAAAAGCACTCAGTCAATAACACTTATTCAAAGCCGTACAGTTTCAGTTTTCAGGGGCAGCTTTTTCTACTGACATTGGGGTTCACTGCTACAGTGTAAGATAGGTCACGCGCTCCGCGGGTAACCCCCATCCTATTTTTACTTCTGCATTTTATCAGTAACAACTATTTAACAGTGCTTCTTTCCTTGGCAAAAAAAGGAATGGTAACAGGTTTGGCTAGAAGCACTGTGCCTTTGCGCTGTCAAAATAAACAGTCGGCATCGAGTTGTCTTTGTCGACCTGAAACTAAAATTTTGAAGGGCCTCAAGCAGCATTCACCGTGGACAATGGTTCATACATGCGCACCGTAATATATAAATGGCGGAGCTCTTGGCCTAAGACTAATGCCATTTTAAAAGTGAACCTCTTCCAATCCATGCATTTGTCATTTTTTCACAATTCACCGCTTTCGTCAGATATGAGGCGAGCTTTGTGGATAAGCGAGAATAGTATGATTTTGATACAGTTAAATGAAACGATAAAAACTATTCATTTTATGGACAAGATATGAAGATAAACCTATGAAAATCATATGTTAATACTTTTTATCTGAGACCTCTGAAATACTTCTATAGAGTGACATTTACACATATCACCTCCAAACATAGGTTTGACTTCATAATTAAATGAAATAATTGTTTTTTTTTTTTTTGTTATTGTACATATGTGCTCAGATGCTCGATTACAAATTACTTGTATCAGTCTCTCTGTTGAATAGTATCTCGGAGAGTAAAGCTCCTGTGACAGGTGCACAGTCTAAATGCGTCTAAATGTTTGGCGTCTGCTGCTGCCGTTAAGCACTGTTTCCAAAATAAAGATTTATATGCCTGCATGATACGTGACGCTATCCGGTTGACACCATCCATCCATCCATCCAAGGTAAGAGTGCGCCTAAAGTTGTATGACTTGTGTGGGCATCTAAGGCTGTTCACCACTTATCAGTTCATTTGGTCTACGGAATTTCAATCCATTGAATAAACTGAGCGCAAGGATGACTTACAGTTCATTGTATATTAATAATATCAATTCTGCCTAAATTGGAACCAATCTGTCGTCGTCATTCGCAGTACTAGTTGTAATTGTTATAAGATCGTCCTTTTGTTTTTCGAAGTCTGCATATAAGCATCTCGGAGGGTGTTTGCTCAGTAAGGTTACGAGCGCCTACTTCACAGATTGATAGGAAAAGCTTGAAAATGTAATAACATCGAAGATGTTTCCTGAACTTCACTTCGTAACGAATTTCTGTCCGCTTACGTACCTGAATATAAAACGAGAATGTTCAATAATATTTTTGATCAATCAACAGTCTTGCATCCAGCTCCTAAATCGTACAAAGGGATATATCATTACCACGAAGCTATTATTGTACTGGGGTCTCATTGGCATCCCACCCATTGGAGAAACGACTGAAGACGCTTATAAGATGCAAAGATTCTCACGATCTGTAGTTAATCGCGTCACCCAAGGTCTATCGCATACGAACACAGTTCGTGCTTCAATGCGCAGCTCACATTTAAGGCATCACGAAAAGCTGCTGCCTCAACTCATCGTCTTGTTATCCTCAATATACATGATAGTGCAACGCTTCACTGTGCCAAGAGCAGACAACTTCTCCGACATCTACTAAAGGCGGCCCAGTAGCCTGAAAGAACAAAATTCACTTTGCTTTCTGTCCAAAATAATGATATTGAAAGTACTCACAAAGCATAAAACAGCAAAGATTGTCATAACCAAGGTATGCATTTTGCCACTTATGTGGCGGACGATCCAATGCTATGAAATCATCAATATCCCTAGTAAAAAAAGAGTTTGTCACTTCCCAGATTTGGTTATACATCAGGAGCAATAGTTTGAAAGGTATAATGCGTCGTACACTTGTGCGGACCATTTAGAGCGCTGCTTTCTAGCTTCTGTTGGGCGCCGTTACGTCCTTAAAAAACAAACAGGATGTCATGATAAAAGTACTATTGCCCTCTGTTGCTGAACGAAGACGAGAATTTCACCAATGTCATCAGTTGCGGTTATCAGCTTGATGATTTAATCTAACTAAAACCAGGTCTAATTTGGGGGTTATATATATATATATATATATATATATATATATATATATATATATATATATATATATATTATTATGGGCTAAATTATGGGGTTATATATATATATATATACTGACCTGAGATGAAAAGATTATTAGTAATAGTGTATTTTTTTTTTAATTTCCTAAAACTGCACACTTCGAAAGAGTATATATCTATATACTCTTTTTCTTCTTATATAATTTCGAATGTTGGCAATGCTATTCATTGATAGATAGTCCTGTTTTGTAAACCTAATGAATAACGTTGCTAGAATTTGATTATGATGATAGAATGAACATGATGCTCATGGTACGTTGTTTCTGGTAGGTGCTTTCAATTTTATATACTTTGAAGACGTTTAACGAGTTGCGACCTACGACGCCGAAAAATAGTTTCTCACATAACCTATAAAACTGAACTGTAAACTGTTATAAATTCGAATAGAAAATGTACGTAGAAAAATTAATTACGAATGTATTGCATAAAATAATTATTAAATCCGAACACGTAAACAATTCTAGTATAGGACAAAGCAAGGCATTTTTTAGAAATCCGAATGTCTCTCAAGGCAGTTCCAATTAAAGGCAATTTAAATGAAACAATCCCATTAATCGAATTCATTTTAATCATGGGCGTGTATGTTCTCGTGCGATTGACTCGGAGGTGACGGTTATGTATAGCAGCTAAAAAAGTAGCACAGTAGGAATTCGCACCCATGAGACGTAGGTCAACATATCTTTCTGTTAATGGAGTTCTCTCTATAGTTACTTGACTCCGTTCACCGAATAGTACAGAATGATTTTTTGGTTCAGTAGAACGCTAGCAACGAACTAGCCAATATTGTCGCATGAGAGCGCCCAGGCGTGGTAAATTCGAGGACCACATCTGCTTCGACACATTCCGGTCTGATCCGTACTTCAGTCGGAGCTTAAAGCAAAGCACCAAGGGCACGGCCAGAAGGAGTAGTTCAGACTGTGTTCGCGCGGCTACAGTAGTATAGTATTTTATGGAGGAATTGTGTCTGGCTAATGCGTACGAGAAATCTGAAAAAGTGGCGGGTAAGGTAAGCGCGAAAGAAGCCAGACGGGCCGAGAACCCACGGCGGCGAATAAATATATCTAATACTCTCTAGCTAGAGCAACGAAAACTTCTTTTGATTTACCCGAAGACTACTTACTGTAAGTTCACCACAGGAATGAAGCAATTTGCAATTTACAAAATATTCGTGTGAAAATATTGTAATAGCAATCCGCAAATAGATGATTATAATTAAACTACAGGCTTAGATTATTTTAAGTAAAATGTCGCGTCTTTTCAATACATATATATATATATTTTAATTTGTTAACAACATAGTACTCAAACAATACACAGTGCTCTTCTTTATAGAACACATCTCAGAGTTTTTGAGTGAAGTTTTCGTCACTCGACAATTAATTCATCCTACTATAGAAAATGTCACTGCACTTGAGTCTAACCTGCAGTTAAGATGACACGTGACATCATAGAGATGAATCCCATGACAAAGGCCGCTACAGCTTGAAACTTCTTGTAATCCATTATGTTGTGTCAGTGTGTAGGGTATATCCTTGCGTTTGCTTGACAGTCGTCACCCACTCATCGCACTTACTTGTTGACTTTATCCGCGCTACATCCACGCTTCTGTCAATATTAAACAATTTAAAAAACTTCTCTGCTGTATCAGTGGTCACTGCACATTAAGTCACGTTAGTTGTCTGTTCAGAGAAGTTCACATTAACTAATCTCATTTATAAGCAAGCAAATAGCAGTATTCCAAGTAATGTTCACATGATAACTGATCACTTCCAAATTGATTGACGAAGCATACTAATTTTCAGTTGTACAGCGGGCAGATAGAAACCCCATTTCCTCTAACCGCGATTTGTTATTGTAGAAGCTCCCTGGATACGGGGCACTCTACAGTAGGTGACTCACTCCGGTCCTAGTCTGTCACGCTCTGAGGAAAAGCCAGATTCGCGCCCCTTAGTTCAGCCGTGCTCCGCTAGGGTCTCTGTCATCGCGACCATGTGCTCGCTTTATGCTAAATTCAACGAAAGACCGCTAAACAAGCCAACGCGGAAACGTTATTCTATCTATCTAGAGCGTCCTTGTGTTTTTTATTATCGGCAACGCCATACCATTTTTGAAAAATCCTGTTTCATTCATGAATTCTGTGTTTACACATTCTAGCAGACGACGCCGAATAAACATTAAAGTGACATACATTGTGCTCCGCCGAGCCAAGAGCAACGACTTTACGTGTTAAGTGTTCATCGTCTCCTTTGAATTAGGTATTCTAATTTCTTCAATTAAGCTACCGTCAGAGTATGCTTACAAGTTTCCGCCGAGCGTTCACTCATCATAGAGTACAGCGGCTGTGTTCTCAGGTGAGCTTCCTCTTTGCAGCTTTGTCTCGTTTGGCAGTGCTCTGAGTACTGTTGGCTCATTTAGAGGAAGAATAGACAATCATAATTCCCTATAGCCACTGTTTGGTAGCTACTAATCTCAACTACTGGTAATATTGTAAGCAAACACTGATACAAAATCATATTATCTATCATAGCAGTTAAACGTCTAATTAAACGGGGCATTTTCTCAATCTATATAACCATATTGGATTTTATTGTTGGTTACCTTTCGTCCTGTTGTTTCTGTTTGTCGATACTATTGTTCCTCCACCGTCGGGTCGCGCCGTCAGCGCCAATCCTCATAGCTTAGCTGGCTAACGGGGAGGGCGTTATTTTAGGTAGGACTCCCAGCCGCGCCGGCTGCATCGGAGTTTCTCAAGAACGGAGTTGCGAGCACCTCGCGCCAGTTTACTGCCAGGGACGTCGCGAATTTCGCGGAGATAACCGGTGATCGTAACGCGATACATATTGATGTTCATGCTGCAAATGAGGTGGGATTTGATCGTTGTGTGGTTCATGGAGCATTGCTAAACGGCTTGGTCTCGGGACTCATAGCCAAGAGCCTTCCAAAGTGTGTTGTAATCGATCAAGATCTACACTTTCCACATGCGTTACTTATCGATGAACCCGTCACCGTATTTCTGGAGCTAATACAGCAGCGAAAAAGATTTGTGTCGGTAAAGTACACCTGTCGGGATTCATCACGACGTGTGGTTATGCACGGAGAGGCCAAAGTGGCGCTTACCGTAGAGAAAAAGACCGTTATACAAACAAACAATTCCTAGTGTTCTCTGTGCATTTTATTAAAGGGTTATTGTATGTATTTGTAATATGCGCAACTTGGCAAGCATCAAGTAAACTCAGTTGAACTTCCTCGCAACTTTTTATATACACTTGTACAAATAGTGATTCGAAGTTACATCGAGAAAATTGCGAACTCGAACAATGGGCGTTCAAAGCATCTACATAGTGAATAAATCAGGTGGTCTTATCTATCATTGGAACGCGGCTACCGCGGCCCTCGAAGTCGAGAAGACGTTTCGTTATCCTCTCGACATCAAGTTGGCCGCCAAGCGCGACATGAATAGGTGGCAGGTGACTTTCGGCGAACGAGATGGCATAAAGGTCGGTCATACTATTTTAGCTATCAACGGTGAACCTGCTGATGGCCTCAAGTTGAAGGATGGCCGCGATATAGGCGCAGTGCTTGAAAATCAAGCCAACTACCCGATTAGTATAAAGTTCGGCAAAATGCAGCCATCGTCCAATGAGCGCATGTTTTTTGCATCAACTTTTCACTCATTGTACGCAATCGCCTCACAACTCAGTCCTGAACATCGCTCATCAGGGATAGAAATTCTAGAAGCAGATTCATTCCGATTGTACTGCTATCAGACGGTCACCGGAATCAAGTTTATGGCCGTTACAGATCCACGACAAGCTAATGTTGAGGCTTTCTTAAAAAAGTTATTTGAGGTATACGCTGACTACGCTTTGAAAAACCCATTTTACGCTCTTGAACAGCCCATTCGTTGCGAACGGTTTGATGAACATCTCAAAAGCGCAGTAGAGAACATCGATCGACTGTAAATTTCTGCCGTTAACACTGAAAATGGGTACGTAAGGTTTTTTGCATGCATTTCATTTAGAACTAGGCGACGGTGGAGGATGTCTTGCCAACTCCATAGAACGATTAGCCATAATGTACTTACACTAAAATCGTCTTATAAAAACGATTTGGATAACATTAGACGAACTATTTATCTGTAACATGTATATTCTTCGGGGCGTTGTTGCTGCGCCCGTAGAAGTTCAATGAACTTTTCAAATCTGGTTATATAGAAAATTCGAATTTATGAGTTGGTTTAACTTTAGAGAAAACAATTCGGGTCTACCAAGTAAACCTTCGAATAAGCATTATGTTTGCATGACAACAGCACAAAAAAGTGGATTGTTATAAAGTAGAGAGTATTTCTAGTTACTCTTAATTAATGAGTAAAATGAATAAAACGGATTCGAATATGCATTACAAACGGCCAAGAAAAATGTGGTACTAAAATTCGCATAGAAAGTCTTGACTGTTTGTTTGCGTGAAAAAGACTGTGCCAAGCATTGGACTTAATCCATAAAAATATGCAGAGGTTGAGATAATGTTTTTTTTTCTCTTTTCTTTAATAGCCGCTGTCGGACAGAGTGATAGCGCACATGCAAAAAGGCCTTCCCAAAAAATTTCCACTTCCAGGAGTCAACAAAGTTGTACTCATATCGTCAGCCAAAGGAGGCGTCGGAAAGTCAACAACCGCAGGTGATTATTTTGTGTTTTACTTAATCAGTGGATACATAATTATAATTCATGCATTTACCAATTACAGGATATCTCTTTTTTGTTCCAAGAAATAGACTAATTTAGAGTTATCTAGTGGTCAATCCATTCGACCTACAAAAAAAAAACGAAAATTATTTCGAGTTACGGCGATGTTCTATTCAGCTTAGGGAGAGCGTCAAATTACCGCTAATTAGAACCACTGGTTTAATTAATCAGTTATACAGATTACGACAAAAAAGATTTTCAAATTTTTCCATTTTTAAAATTCTAAATTTCTACGGAACATATATCAGTTGTCTTTCACCGATGTATTTTGAATATAAATAATCCTCTTCACATTTTAAATTTACCTTTTCAAAGATTTCACGCGTCTTTTGATATTCAAGATTGACCGCATTGTGCGTTGTATGTGAATAATATTTGTATTGCAGTAAACCTCGCTATTAGTTGTGCAATATTAAATTATCGCGTCGGCCTGCTCGATGCAGACGTATTAGGGCCGTCAATCCCGCAGATGATGAATCTACGAGGGGAACCTGAGCTGAATAGCCGTAAGTAATGTGGAAGATGATCCGATTATGACTGTGGTGGGACGGTGTTCTCTGCCTTAGCACGACTTTGTTGGAATAGAACCTTCTCTAATTTAGAAACAAGACGTTTTTTGCAATGTGGCTTTCATAATCTGCCAAAAGAGACAAAAACAGAAATAGTAAATACTTTACTTTGGTTTCAAAAATGTTTTTCATGCGTCGCCTTTTGCAAACTAATCCGAAATATGACCTCTCTCTTTTTAAGTTCCAACCGAGCTTCTGCTAATATTAATCGATCGAAAGCGAATCTTATTATCGGATATTAGCGAAACGTTGTATATTATATTAACAGATAAGGGTCTATTTAGTTCAGATAGCTGATAAATTCACATTCTGTGTAGATACTATTTTAAGGCGCTGGAATTATTGTTACATGTAAAAAGTATCTATGCTTCTTCCCTTAGAATAACCTTAAGCGTGGAATTAGTGTTAATGTTGACTATCATGTATTTATAAATGCTTTTTTGTGCTACGCGTAAAAGAGAACCAAATGTTGCCTCTGCGGAACTACAATGTTCGTGTAATGTCGATGGGCTTCTTGGTGAACGAGTCAGCTGCAATAACTTGGCGTGGTCTTATGGTTATGCAGGCAGTACAGCGACTTCTTCGGAACGTTAACTGGGGATCTGACGGCCTGGATGTCTTATTCGTAGATATGCCTCCGGGTAAGTAAAATGTAACTCCTTCAGCTTAATCAACCGAGTGCTTCCCAATTGGTTCGCTTTAGACGCACACACACACACATTATATATATATATATATTTCTTTTATTTTATGTTTGAAGGTAAACGGTTCTCAAATGTGTAAAATGAAAAAAGTGGATCTACTGATCGAGTCAACATTACGCTCTCTATCAAAAGCAAACAAGTTCTTCCCTTTAGGGAAGAATTAGGTTATCGAACGGCTTTATCTTCACATATGCTAAAAGTTTACTTAAGAAGTCGCTCAAAATAATGTCGAAATTCATTACATAGGCAACCCTATACAACCAGTCGAATCTTTGACCGCTTTCTCGCCAAAATATTAATTTTTAGTGTAAGGATGCGCTTAGCATTTTTACTCAGCTCGTCGTAATCTATAGATGGGCATTAAGAAAAGTCATAAAAAAGGGGTACCTTGCACAAAAGATGTTCTAATTTCTTAATTTTTTTTCAGAATATTTCTCAGAAATTATTTCCGAAAAAATTGTTCTTCGAAGATATTTACCATACCTGCCACTTTAGGTTTCCAATTGGCATGTTATAGAAATTGGCTTAAAATGATATTTATACTACTATACTCTATGAGGAAAAACAGAGACCAAATTAGGGGTTTTCACCATTTACATGCAGAAATATTCATTTTAAGTGTAGGATACTGTGTTGTATCTTTTCTTGACTCGTTAAAATCTATCGATTGGTAGAAAAGACTTCTTGCCTTATATAGAGTACTTATTTATAAGTACTCTTATCTTCATTTACGTTTTATCTTCAGGTGGCATTTTCAATTAAGAAATCGATATTTGAGTACCAAAATATTCATACAATTTCGATTCAGCTCAGACAAAGCTTTTGATTGGTGACGAAAACCGCTGTTCCTCATGTACATGGAGTTTCATGTAAATTTCTAAGCGCTACTTTATGTGAAGCAATTTTTCAAAAAAAAAACGCGCACCAAATGTACCTCGTGCAGACTTCGACGGTTTTTTCATAGATATGTCTAAAATATTCTGAAAAAAAAAGTTTAAGAAAGCCATTTAAAAGACGAAATTCATAATCGTACAAACAACACCAGCAGAAAACAGGCTTAATGCACTTTACAACTAAGCACAAATAATTCATGGTTCGACTGTAGATCCCCACATTTACCGGTAGTTACCCTGTTGAAATTCGATTGGTATCCTATGGCACCGATTCCGTTATACGGTAATAATCTGATTTTCCTAATTAAGTGGATCTATTAGGGTCATATGTTCCATTGCAATCACTCTTCTGTATTCCGTTCTTCAATTAAAATATTTTAACAGGCCCTCTGCCATGCTGCAGTTATCTCGTCAATCTCTTCTGATATTTTATTCGTGTTACACATAATTTCTAACATAAGCTCAATACCCTGTTGCGTTTATCGTGTTTTTCAATTTTAATAAATCCTATCACCCAGAAAAAAGTATTTACCCTACTGGAGAATATAGACCATATAGGCCTAAATGATTCAGATTTTACCAACCGTTTTTGCAAATTAACAAAGTTAGCATTATGCATGTTTATAGAAACCATTGCACCTGAAAAAAGTAATCGCATGCTTAGAAAGATTAATTGAGATGATTTTTATTTCGCCAATCATGAAGTATTCAGGCAAAATCATCGATTTACCACTGAAGAATTGTATTGTTAGTATTTTCACTTAAACTAAATTGTACACCTCTTTTGCTCATTCAAACTCCGAAGTGACAAAAAATTTACCTAAACTGCTATTAAACATTGTGGGGTGGAAAAGTGGATTCTCCTGAGCAAAAGTATTCATCTGATCAGGTTCATCTTTAACGCAGACTTCTCAGGGTGAAGCTCTTTAAATCTAGATAGTGTCGGCCCGGTCTGACCACTCTACAGCGTTGATTTGGGTCCAACTAAGGAACTACTAATAAAATCAATAAACAAAAAACGTTTAATAGCTTTTATATACATATTAATGTATTCTAGAAATTCCAGTTGCTTTCTCGTGACACATGCTCTTGGAGACACTTATTTGCCAGTAACCTGCGTTTTTAACTTTGTTTTTAGGCACTGGCGATGTTCAACTTTCAATAGCTCAAAATATTCCAATAGATGGCGCTGTTATCGTCACAACACCACAACCGGTTGCCCTTCTGGATGCGCGACGAGGTATCGAAATGTTCCGTAAAATGAATGTGCCTATTCTAGGCGTCGTGCAAAATATGTCCGAGCATATCTGTGAAAAATGCGGTCACACGACATATATGTTTGGAAAGGACGGAGCGAAAAAAATGGCTGACGATATGGGAGTGCAAATTATTGGTTAGTAATACCCTTTAATCACAAAACTTTTTCATGGATTATAGCATAACAAAAGGAAGCTCCAGTCTTTTATCTGTTTGAGAACGATAAGGTTCGCATAAAGCAGTTATTATATTCTATTAAGGTTCGAAAACGTTGGGCATAATCAAATACCAATATATTTTCCATTAGCTGCAGTAAACTTTTATCATCAAACCATGGCCTTCGTTGTTCCATATGTGGTTTATTGACTTTCAGTAAATTTGTTAGGGGCATCGAGAAAAAGAGCAACCGAAAACCATAGCATTTTCGCTGAAATCCTACGATGGTATTTACAAATCTAATACTCGAGTATCCGGAAAAAGCAATAGTAACCCTAGTAACGTACTAGGGTTACTATTGCATTTAAGCTTTTAGATCTCCATGCCATACAGCCGTAGGAACAACGGCTTAACCGTTATTAGTAACGCAAAGTTTTAGATGTCTAATTACGGATTTTCAGGCAATATTCCGTTGAATTTGGCGATTCGCGAGGGGTGCGATAGCGGTAAACCTATCATTGTTGTCGAACCTGATTCGCCGGTGACAAAAGCATACAATGAATTGGCGGCCATTGTGTTAATGAAGCTAGGTACCACTTAGTAATGGTGAAGAATAAATACTAGATATATGTGACGAATGTAATTGTAGAAGTTAAAATGTATTATGTCCAAGCTAATAAATATGTGTTTTCTATAGCCGTGTTGATTAAACCTATTAAATGAGCTTTCTACAAGTTTTCAATTTATATCGATGGGTACATCTTCTTTTCTGTTACAGAGCAGGCTCGCTTATTACAATTCAAATTATTGCCTACGGCTTTCTTATTCGAGAAAGCAGAAGAGGTAATACTTTATTTAGGTTTTAACTGTGCAGTGGCATCGATGATGTGACACCTGCCCATTTTCCCAGCAAATACCCATTACTGGCAATTACCTTTGATGGGTATTTATTTTTGTTAATATTTTCGATGTTCCAAAGATCGCTGCCTCTGGATATACCGGAATAACGTCAGTTCATTAAAGCTGGCCTTTCGATGAAGTCACATTTGTATTAAAAATGAAATTTCCCAAATCCGTCGTGCTGAAATCTCTTGATATTCAATGTCTTAGAACCAAGAATTAGCTGGCCACGACTCCTTCTAAAGCTTTGGGATCCACGAAATAAATTTACTCTGAATCTGTTCAATTGATCTCATTGTACCCCTTTGTTGCCACCATAGTCAACAATGAGGCCTTGTCTGATTCTTGTGTAAGAGTTGTCATTTGAAAATTCATTAGTTGAAAACTGTCTAACAATGTTAATATGGTTTTGTAAACATCAGTTCACGGAGTACCTCAGTTACAAACAGTTTTCTTCCGTGTTTTGCGAGTTGCACTAAAACAACAGCGAGTATTTACGAAAGAAGCACGTACGATGGTTGTTTATTTTGGTATAGTCGTTATTATTTATAAAAAAAGAAAAAGATATCATCATATACAGACTTGGTAATGAAATAACCAAACCTCTTTTTATTTGACAAAATTAAATCCAAGTAATCAATGGAGCTTCTTATTTTTTTGAAACGGAATCTGGTGCCCTATAGGTGTTGATCGCCTTGTGTTTTACGACTCTCCTTCAGTACACGTTGAACCGTTTTGCTTCGGAAAATGACACAAAGGGCAGTTCGTAAACGACAACACCTAAAAACATATTTGACGTAATAACGTTAGATTAGGTAGGTCTGCAAAAAATTAACAGCACTTTATGTATCGCCGATAGTAGTGCCGTATAAAACGGTTATCTTCTTGTCGACCTAATTGAACATTACTGTCTCTAGCTATAAGGGTAATTATTATTTCCTTAAACGAAACCTCTTAGCAGTAGGTATGGTACTTGTTTCTGACACAAAAGGAATCACTTTTACCACGGACAGAAAAAGCGTGGTTTAGATAATTTATCTGAATTAACTAGTTGCACAATGCACTGAAATTTGCTACGTTTTAGTGATAGCTAAAGGTCAAATGAGAAGTCTTTTATTTTTCTCTTCCTGCTGTAGTTGCATGTACCTCGCCTCGAATAGCCGAATGCCTACATTGACCACATCGCCAGGCGCGCTCCGTATCCGTAATCACCGCTCCCGATGCAACGCACAATGGATAGCGAACTCCACAAGTAGGACATAAGGTCGATCTTTAATAGCAAAGCAAAATACCTAGCAGTAGTAGTGTTTTTTTTATGTAGCCTCATTATTTGAACTAAAGCAGCATATAAGAGATAAATTGTGTGGGGTAGTGATTAAATTACCAAATACACCTTATTAGAAGTTGGTGCATGAAGAATTATAGCTAAAACAACAGCTTACAAAAAAATAATTTTACCCATCAGGTAGAGTTATCCCACAGCCAAGACAAACAGCGTTTTCAACCTTATTTTTTTTGGGCACATTTTTCGAGAAGAGACAGAGAGACACTTGTTCAAGTTGTTCCCGCTCGGACGCTGAGAAACCTTCGCTGGTCTCCAGGTATGTTAAAGCCCGTGAACAGTGGCCCCACGCTCGACTCATAACCGACGTCAAAGCTGTTATAGACCACAAAGAAGAAGACTTATGAGAGCAGCAGAATTACTGTAGGAGACTCTCCCATATAAGTACAGGGGACCATTAGAATTTCGATAGTTGAGATCGTTCGTGTTTATTTTGCAGTTAAGTCGGACCTGAGAACGAGGTTTGAATGGTTTAGTTCAGTTAAGCATAGATAATCATAGATGTATGTTTGTTTTTTAAGTCATACGTGAGAATTCTACCATAAAGGGATTTATTATTACTAGCATTTTTACTCAAAGACACTCTGTACGTATTCGAATGCATTACCAGATACTAACCGATCAGTTGGTACACAATGTTACAATCAAGAATATCATCGTACTCTTTCAGATGTAAGGCCGTAGTCAATGCCTGCTCATATTTCTCACGATAAAATTGCCTTTGTGCCAGGGCTAAGAAATGATATGCCTGAAAGAGTTAAGTCATGGAAAAATGGTATAGTTGAACTAATCATTCATGATAAGTAAACCCTTCCTGCATGAAAATGTTATCTTTGATTTAAGTTCTCAACAATTAAATAAATTAATCCCAGATAAACAGCAATAGCCAATAAAACCCAGTGCGTTGGGAACCGATAGCCTAGCAAAAAGTGGTGAGATGAGAAGTTTGAGTAGATGATGTCAGATTAAATAAATGAGCAAGCTAAATCTTCAAAAGAATAGACGTGATAGATAAAACTGACCTGAGCGTATCTCCAAAGGTTGTCCTCTCCAACGACGGTCAAAGACTGCGTAGCTCCTTCAAATCCGGGCCTGTTCCTGCCAGTTCTGCCCTGATCAGCCAGCATGGCCGCGAGAACATAAATTTGTTTTTTCAGAACGCTTCCTCCGACACGGTCAGAGCGCGCCAGTTCATTCAAAAGACGAGCCGCCTCTCTAAACCGGCCAGCTCGCCTGGATATCAAACCACGTGAGGTGTGAGTACCGATTTTCCAGTAGACATTTTGCGTCCAAAATGAAAGGGCCAGTAGCTAATTTGTTTATGATAATTCTGATTATTTAGCGCATTGTTTACACATAGAACGTGATTTAATAAATGCATTTTATGAATAGGTCACTTTATTCGTAACGCTGAAATGCCAAACAAAAAAGCATCAATAATAAAGCTGTGAAAGATGGAAACTACTAAATATAATAGTGCATACCGATATAGTTCAACAGCAGACAGAATATTGTCCTTTTCAATGAATTGTCTCGCGTACTTAGCAAGCAGCCCGCTTACGTCCGCCACTTGGCCATGGTCTCGAGCTAATTCTATTGCAGTTTTCCATTCGTTGAGTTCGATACAAACTTCCATTGCACGAGTGTGCGCGTCACTCTATCATCATAATGACAATAAAAATTCCGATTAGTCGAGCATATGATATGTCTCATCTCTCTCCAGTCACTTCGCGTTATTATCTCATGCTTTTTTTTGTATTTGAACCACAGTTAGGCGTATTTCGTTTTTAGATCAGCCTGTAGAAGATGACTACTGGCAAGAATGACGCAAGAATGCCGAATTGATATGTAAAACTTCGTACAGTCACGCGCTTGCGCATATTCTGAAGCTTGCTTACATTAACGAAACAATGAACAGCCTCATCACACATGCCCACTGATTCGAACATCTCTCCGATTCGAAAGAGGAGCTTCTTATCGGACGCCCCTTCCGTTACCTTCCATAGTTCATCGAAATCTTCAGTCATGTAATGGGCGGTGGCTAAACCATCTTTATTATGTGACTTCTTGAAACAATGAATAGCCTTTTCCCTGGCGATCAAATACATGTTATTATAATTTAATAAAAGTGCTCCCTAGCGCTTTACAGATGTACCATTTTTGCTGCGATACTGCCATTAAATCGTACTATTATTTATGTTACTCGGTCTGTACTTTTTATTTTTTTGCTTTTTCTAATTTTTCTAATAGTTTATAATAGTTCCTAATAGTTCTAATAGTAAAATTTCTAATAGTTTATAGACATGATGCAATATTTTCCATGTTTAATCCTTTGCACTAATGATAACAACGTTGCTTAATTGCAATCGTTCAATAAATACGACTTGTCACCTGGTAGCTTTAGAGCTTATTTTGTAGCGCGACAAACGAACTTTATAGCCCACAATAGAGCTTAAAATATACTTGGTAAACTCCCTTGGATAAATAATATACGTTCTTCTTTTAGTTCACTTTTCAATCAAATCAAATTCCCAATGTAGCAGATATATGTTGGTAATCAGGCTCAAACCGGAAACTGTCGGCATATTTGTCGGCCACCCTCGTCCTAGTCTAGGATCTAAGGAAGTCAGTTAAACTAAAATGTAATTTGCGACCGATTCATAAGAATGGGAGACTTAAAAAACATGGTATGTCTATGACTACCGTGCTATCTATCATTTTACGGATACTTACCACTCGCCATTATCAATGCACATTTGACCGAGATTATTGTACGCATTCTCGATCAAAGCGACATTACTTTCGTTCGAGGTAAGTGCTAGCTCTATGACGCGTTCCCAATTGCCTATAATGGCATGCATTTCTATTGCCAGATCTCTAGAATAAAGAATTAATTTTTGCATTAGGGCAGGAACAAGATAATTAATTATCTTTAACAAAAATTTCTAGTTACCCTAATTGTCGTCAGCACGGAATAATTTCAACGTTTTGTCAAATATTGTTCCATTATAATGCTGCGTTTGGGACCTCTTTGCAGGTGAAGCTAAACGTGCGAAATAAGCAATAAGTTTTAGCAGCAGGCAGTCCCTGTCGTACTCTCAACCCTCATTATATTAAGCTCGATAGCTGTTTTCATACTATTGTATGTTTTCCGTGAATACTTAAAGTGTTAAGGCTAATTGTATTACTTTTTTACCATTCGATCGTGAGAAAAGCTATATTTGCGCCTGTCTAAGATCAACGTCCTCTGTACACCTATGCTCTAGTGCCATACTTACATACGATCGTTGTCTATGAACATCTGCTCGGCCTCATCAAATTGGTCGAAATATGCCAGTACTTCAGCTTCACGCACCTCTCGACTGGCGAGCTTTGCTATTCGCCGGCAAAACAGCACTCCATCCCAGTCCCGTATCCGAACCAGAGCCATTTCCGCAGCATCGAGATCACCCGAGATCATGTGAAACTTAGCCATTTTGCGCCTAGAAAATGTTTTCTGTTATTGGTTAAGGTAGAACCTACAAAAGCCCTTGTAGAGCATTACTAGCCTTTTAATCCAGCAAGACTTATTGACAGAAAAGCTATTGGAACAGCTTTTCTTAGTTTCTTATATATATATGTAGTTCATATGTATATTGATTCGGGTATCTGGGCGGCACCGCGTTATAGGAAATTTTTCTTTTTTTTCAAACAAATCAATTTTTTTGCAGTTTTTTGATATGTGTCGAACAGCGTTCGGTCACATAGAATCCCATCTGCTAACCTTACGTAGAAAAAATGTTTTTGATTTTTTAATGTTTCTGTTGAAGAATTTCTCAAAGAATATTTTAGCAAAACATATTTCCTTAAAGTATTTGCCATATTAGCTGCTTAAGGAAAAAAGTTGCTAAGTGGCTAGGAAACAACTAAAACATGATTCTTTTACCAGAGAATGCTGTTAGAATCGTTATCTTCGATAAACTGTACGACATCAGCGATAGTGGCTTGTTCAAGCAGCTCGTTAAACTGTTTCAGTAGGCAAGTATCTTCTACAACGACGTGGCTTCTAACAGAGAGCGCTTGCTCCGGTGCAGCTAGGATCTCATCAAGGAGAACGCATTTGACACGGAGTTCCTCAATGGCGCAAAGGTATCCTGCGCAGGTTGTTGCATCTTCCGTTTCAAGCCTATGCACTATTACTAATCGAGTTTTCTCCATGTAGGCGAAGAGTTCAGGCTCATCCTAGTAAAAATAAAAATTATTATTACTATTACATAGAGCTTGCGGTGCAATTATTTTACTGCAAAAAGTGCTATCACAGTAATAGCTTTAACTGCTCCAAATATATAGTCATTCTTAGGTTGTTTCAAAAACAACGTCATCTGTTATGCATCGATGAACATTATGGTGTACATTGACTACCTTATCTTAAGATAAAATTAACTTACTGTTGATGAAGTTGTACGAAAAATGGTAATAGGCAGGTATATTGAGGACGGTAATGCATATGTTAGTATAAATAGCATCATGTTTTGGTAATTCGTTCACAGATTCTACTTACCCAGGCCCATCGTACATCCCAGACGTCTTTCCGGTGGAAGTCCACCTGATTAGCTTTGCTAGAATCCGATTCAATCCCATACAAACTCAGATTTCCAGACATGTCAATAACGGACATCATACTACAAAGAAGAGACGATGACTGAATATCAACATCAACATATTTAACGATGCATAATAAACGCGCCGTTAATAGTATAAGAGCAATCGCACAAAAATATGTGCGTATAATGAATGCTTGAGTCTGAATCAAATGACAACTCGATTGTTTCACACTATATTTGCCGGTCACAGAACACATATCACGTTTTCAGGCCTTAAATACACGTACGTGTTGTTGCAGTTGAGGGCAATCATCTTCGGACGTACTTGGAGATTGTATTTATGTGACAGCGACACGTTGGGTAGTGTGTAGCGTTTCACTAGACCTGACTCGAGCGCCTGAAATAAATTTACGCTCGAAGTTAGCGTTAGGAGCACTTAAAATAGTTATTCCATCGATTGCTTAAGCTTTTTTCAGTTTCATATACTCTTAATCGAAACTTACGATTGTTTCAACCTTCATTTCATTTAAACAAATGTTCTTGTGTTTAAGAGCTTCATATAAGAAGCACTTGTTGGGTCATGCGACAACACAGCTAAAGGAGACATGCCTTCTCGTATCTCGCATTTCCAATTTCAGATTTGAAATAAATTAATCATAAAGTTAACAATATCATACCGACCACCACAAGAGCCTCTCCTTCTGCCGCCAGGCAGCAGATTTCTTCCTGGCCATTTGTCAGGGCAAATTTCGAATCACCTTCAGCGCCCGAGATCTTTGAGATCTGGCTGTAAGTGAAGGCCAGGAATATTCACTGTAATACCAGCTGTTATGGGATTTTTACAAGAATCACCTAAGCAAACGGAACATGCAGGTAATCAAATTTACAATAGACACGGAGAGGGTGTCTACTTGAGCAGTATTAAAAGAGGTTAGTTTGAAGCTGTGTATGAAACAGCTGATTCGAACTGGGGGGTCCTAACTGTAACAAATTACTTCGATAAGCAACAAATTGTACATATAAATTAGATTGCTAAACTGACATTAAAGGTTTAACACGTTATGGTAATTCGTTAAGGGACATTCACTATTAATAGTTAGTGCAATTGACGATCCTTCTGTAATATTCTTCGGTCGAATCAAAATAGCCCTTTATTTAGAGTGCTTTACCTTTGCTGAGTCTGTTGAGACTTATTAGGCTCGCCTTCCGCACGCTGCCTCACGTCTCGGAATCGCCACACGTAAAGATCACAATGTGACGCAATTGCTACGACATCTCCGCAGACCGCCATACGAATTGGCTCATTTTCGATAATGACCTGGTCTACCAGAGCGCCTATATTGTCCCATACTTCGATATTAAACTGAAAGAATCGACACCATAATCGGGATGTTCGAATAAATAGAGCTGGCTGAGAAGTGGTTTATAAAAATCGATTGTTAGTGTTACAAGGCTGTCAGTGAGCTCTTTCGCAAACTAAAGTCCTGGTATAACGGCCCGTAACGGAGACGATGAAAGTTGGTGATTTTGGCAAGATACTCGGGGCAGGAAAGGTGGTTACTTCGGGATTGTACCGAAGCGATTCTAACTTGCAAAAATAGCTGTTCTACTGCGTTCGCCCTTAAGCAGAACAAGGTGTAAACGAACCTGATCTGGGACTCCGGCCTGATGCCGTGTTGCGACGGCGGCATGCCCCTTTGACGAAGCTATTGCCAGTACACCCCTTCGAAAATTGATATGTTTCTGAAAAACGGTAAGCCAAAAGCTAATTGATCCTACTTACGGAAAACAACGATTCGACATGATTAATCTTCTGTCTGGACCTACAACTCAAGACGGTCATTCGATTACTCTGCCAGCATTTCATATTGCATAACTTAATTATGATTAACAAATAATAGACCATTATTTAAACCGAATATTTTCTGTTAGCAAGTGGTTGGAGAGATCTTATTATGAGGCATTTTGAGCCAGAGATATTTATCTTATCATCAATCTCCACTCTATTATCTGCGTGATTATTTTTTGAAGAAAAGGCATACCTACTTTATAAAGCAATCCATCCGACAGTTAAGCATATTGTACTAGATGCCTCAATGAATAATGTCAATTTAGTAGTCTACGATAGTTTGGCTGTACAGTCGATAGTACAGGCTATTCCACTAAGCTTTTTGCAGTCCGTACCTGTCTATTTTTAATATCCCAGAGTGTGAAACATTGCTCCGCTCGGTCTGGCTTTGAATGCGTAAACAGTACACAGTCAGAAAAATAACACCACATGTAATCAGGCCGTACGTTTACGAAATAGATGAACGAATCCACGCTGACGGCTAGGCGTAAGCCACTGCCTTCCCAGGTGCAGCCTTTGATGGGCGTTCAGTATTCAAGGCCGTAAATAGAAAATTAAAATATTGACACTATAATAACTCAAAAGGAACGTTACTATAAAAATGCAGTTTACCTGCACTGTTTATTATCTTGGGTGGAACGCAATTTGCTTTGAAGAATTCCATAACGTTCAAATATCTAAGTGATGCTCGCTATATATCGAAGCTAGTATAGCAGTAATGAATGAATAAACACGCCTATCAATATCTGTCTGAAGTTTTCTTTAAACGCGCTGTGTATTTACATGAAGATAATGGATCACTGTAATCGACGCCTAGATTGTCCTTCTATAGATAAGTAGATTGCGAGGCTTATGTTGGACAAATCCAGGCAAGTCGCGCGAAGACAAAAATCCAAAGTCATGAAAAAGATTGGCTTTTTCATTTACCTGTAATCTGCGTCCCTGGTACAACAAGCGTATGCAGATACTGGCCCTGATTACTAAATAATTTTATAATATTTTTCTTGTCAGGTTCGCGTGTCTGAAGAAGCCTGCCAATAACAGCGATCATGTTGCCTGATGGTGACCACTCAGAGCCCGTTATAATCATATCGCAATCAATCAGTATCGGCGCTTCAGTGAAGATAGAAAGAGCAGTATGAAGATCATATTAATTGGTTTACAAAAGAAATATTAGTCTTTGTTCGTGAGATCACCACCCGGTAGAGAAATTAAAGTTGTTCTCTATTCAATACACCGCCTACGTTTATGTTACGTAGTTCCTAAGTGACTATCTCTGCTATATATTTAAAATTAGTCGTCGACTACAAAGCGTAACATTCAATTTTATATAAGACATATAGTTTTAAACATTGATAATATGATTAAATTTTATATGCATATCAATCGTAGACTTACAGAGGTCAACTTCTTTTTTAAGTAGCTGAATGTGACCTTCGTCACTTGCGATAGCGAGAGCAGGGACATCAACCTCAAGAGCTCCCCCACTGGGTCTTTCGCCACTTGGCCCCCTTTTGTGCCATTTTATTGCAACGATATTGGAATTCGGCGTCGGCTGTATTATGCTCATTTTTGACTTTTCAGACAAATAAACGAACATTCAAATTATATCAAAGCCATTCTTTTGAACAAAAATTTAATTTTTAATTTTAACGTTAAAGTCGTACGATTCGATTACCTTTTAAGTTCGCACCGCTTGAAAAATTGAACGGGTATCAAAGTAAACCTTGCTATGACTTACAACAAAGTTTCCACCCTGGTCATAGATATGTATTTCGCCCGACCGTAGCCCAAATAGAAGATATTTTCCATCCGCAGACCACTGAAAAGTGAACCATGGCATTTCTATTTAATACGATTTGTTTTACAAATACGAAACCTGATCAGAGGATAGGAGAGGCAAAATGTTTACGGCGTGTTCTTTTGTGGTGATACTTTCCTGTGAATCAGTATGGCCTCTTACCTCAGCAAGTTGCAAAGAGACCCCTTTAAGTTCTTTTCCCCAAAGACGATTCCCATCAACTGATCCAACAATAATTGCCCCATCATCGTAGATAATGCATATTCGTTGTCCATCACTCGACCAAGCCATTCCTCTAACAACACTTTTATTCCTGTTATTGACCATCTCCTCGAACCATGTCCCTTTGTGTAACATCCAAACAATAATCAGCCCCGACGAGTCTGCTGTGGCGAGGCGCTGGTGCTTCTCGTTCCACGCCATCAACTGAACAGAGCCTACATTACAACAAAAACCTCTTGTAAGGTTAAAATTTCGTCTCTGGCACATTTAATGTAAAATATCACGTAAGACATCCATACAACAAGTTAATTAATAACAAGTAAATAGATATAATCAATTTGGCTTAGCGAGTCAAAAAGCAAAGGACATTATCACAAGAACTATAACACATTAGTAACTGCATAACAATAATTCCACCGTCCTTAAAGAATCGAGGCATATCGAATGGATACGCATAGGTAAAACTGAAACAAAGTAAAATCAAGTCATTGTTACGAGAAGCACTCTTCCCTAACTTTCATTAGGTAAAAAAAAAGGCGCTGACGTTTTGTGCAGTAAAAATAAGTGAAAAAATAGAAGTTCCTTTTTAGATATTACTACGTTCAAGTCAAACTGACAGACCGCCGAGCCGGACCTTCTGACTCCAAATGTACGTGGTGTTGGTCTTGATAATTCAACATAACGCAGAGCATAGAAAAGTAACTACTACGAGATGAGTAAGTTACATGCAGCACACACCATTATGGCCCTCCAGAGTTTGATTCATAAATAAGCTGGATGTAGCGACGAGTCCCTCTTTAGGAGTCTCCAGCTTCAGCACCTTGAGAAGCCCATCATCTCCACCAACTGCGATGTGACCATCCTCTGTGTTCCAAGCAATACAACGCAGATTCACTTGGTTGGGAATTGCAATCTATATGAATACATTCAGATAAAGTGATACAATTTTAAATTTAGAACGTTTGAAATCTGCACAATTACTGCGCATAACATGACAGTCTCCTTTAGATGCCTACTCCAGCAACGACTTCTTTAAAAGGAAACTAGTCGACATAAAAGTTACCCTGCTTGTATGAGTTTATGTCAATGCAAACAGAATAAATGTAAATATTGAATCTCTAGTTTTCCTAGCAGATCGTTATTTCATGCTATGCGTCGTATTGTATGCAATAACTATGTCGAGAAGCTATTGCGGGTGTATTAACTCTATCGGATTTTCGCTTGGTTCTATATCAATGCTTCGCTGAACGTACGCTGTATCACTAAATTGCAATACTAATAGCACTAGGGTACGCGCCAAAGACGTACCTTCTTGCTAAGGTAGATGAACATTGTTACGTTTCGTTGAATGTACACGAATCCTCGGGAAGAAATCGTCTGTGTTAAATTCAACGACCACTAGAAGCAGACACTCGATGCGCCACTTTTGAACACTCTCGGAGTCCATTGTTACTATAGTGACCGGCATCACACCGTAGGGCGTAATGGTCACTTATTTGAACTCCTTCTCTTCACAGTGCGCACCTATAAGCTTTGCAAAGAGGCTCCCAATTTCGGTAGCCTTAAGAGTGTACGATATGGTTTGAACACCGTTTCTAAAAAAATGCATATTTACAATCTAACTTCATTCAAACCTACATGCGTTGTTGCAGTGAGAAACTTCATGCCTTGACTCATCTTTTTTTCAGTTGTATCTTACGAATGAAGCGCTCTAATAGCAATTCTATTTTTGAAATAAAATTGCGCGTACCTTAAGCTTTCCTTAAACATAGTCTTTTGTAAATGTACGTATTTCTAAAAAGGAAACTTTGAAAATACGTAAACGTAAAAAGGTATGGTCACAGAAAATTCAGTCTATCGTTCCGGTTCGGTTTTATTGAGTAGTTTATAATTATTATATTAGCACGCTATCCATATCATCATAGGCTCTACTGACATTATATATAATCATACTGCAAATAATCTGGTATTGCAAAAAGGCAAATGAAGCTATTCCTTACTAGGTGGCCTTCCGAGCAACGAAAACGCTTAGTTTTTGGATATAATACAAGCATCATTATTTTATTTCTAGATTGTGGCATTATGATATTGTTTAAGCAAGTAGTGAAGAGCCACCTTAAAATTCTGAAATGTACCGTACTTTTGCACTTGAACCTGTCCTTCTGAGTACCTGTCATTATATACTAATTGAATATTTAATATCAATATGTGTGTTTTTTGACTTTGATCGTTGCACTGGTTTCAAAAGAAGACCTAATTTTTCGGGAAAGGTATGTATATATCTGCTTGAAATCATGTTTCGGGTCTTTCAAAGGTGCCCACAAACTGATTTGTCATAGATTGTTTTCTCGAACAATAATCACTGCCATTTTCTAAAATCGTTGTGGTAGTAATACACCAGAAACAAACGCAGAATATACGGTTGTGATAATATGCTTGACATATTTGGCTAAAACCGTTTTTGAAGACGAGAAAACTAAAATATTATTTATAGATGAATAGAATTGATCTCTTCTGATATAGAACAGACGGTAATCATAACCTGAATTATTAAGCCCTTTCATTGTTCAATCAAACCGCAGTCTGCAATAGCTTCTACTAAAAACTAATACTATATTTCTGGGTTTTCGATTTAATTCAGAATTAGCCGTACGCAGTTAGTAAACATTTGAAGTGCTTGGGCATCTGAAATCGTCTGTCTATACGACAATACTACAGCTATATTAACCCAATTATTAGCTACAATGATTTCCCAGAAGCTGAATAAACCTTGTCCCTATCGAAAGCTCTACTTAAGTAGACAGGCCATCCGTGTAGACTGATGTAATTAGCAACATCGCCTTTCGTAAACCTTTGTTTCACCACTGCTGCTTCAGCTGATATGTTAATTACGGCTACAGACAACTGCCTATATTTAAAGCTGGGCGCGCACACCAGGCGGCGCTGCTGCACAACAACAACAAACGGGCTATTACCACGACTACGGAGCTCGTGGTAGACAGATAAACGCGTATTCTTTGCCTTCGCACCTGCTTAAAAAAGGGGCAGTATTTTTGTTGATTTTTTGTCCTGGCAGAAACCCTCTTTGGCCCATTTTTAAGCAGAAGTTGACTTACTATAACTCACAGTAAAAAAGCGAGTTGATATACATAAAGCCATGTTTCTGTAATCTTATATTACTATGTGCATGGGTTTGCATGCGTACAAAGTAGATGTGTGTCGAAGTGACGAACTCGGTGGATTAACGATTAAGCGGTGACTCAGCTCACTGGAGTTTTTATCAGAGCTTGCCAATAATCCACTATGATCCAGAATTACGATGAAACTTCGATGACAATAGCGATAGCCCATTTGTTACGTGCCTTGTGATTGGCATCAATTTTCTCTAGCGTTATATAGACAAGTGTCAACTATTTATCGGTGAACGTATTTATCGGTGATTAGGTTTTAGCACAGTGCACACTTAGCTTATAGTCTATTAAATAACAAAATCATAGTTTACCATCATTATTCATTTATGACGTGAAAATAAAATATAAGATCATGGATAATGTGCTCAAACAAAAACTGATACTTGGATTGGGTGCCTGTGCTGTAGCAGCGGGTGCCTGGTATCTTTCCCGTCAAGAATGTACATGCGAGGAGTGCTCAGAGACCGATACCGAAGCTACAGTCTATATCGTAGAAAATAGCGCTGATTGGCGTGGGAGCTGCGAGGAGATTATCGCAGAAATACGTCATTCGAAGGTTATTGCGTTGGACTGTGAGTGGGTAACCTCCAAAGACGCTGATGGTGGTCGGCGAAAAATTGCCCTCCTTCAACTTGCAGCGTCTACGACCTGGGTCGCATTGATCCGATTGTGCAAAGTGGGTTTGATACCGGAGGAACTAGTGGACATTTTAAAAGATCCGAGTATTGTTAAAGTTGGCGTAGCCGTTCTTGAGGATGCAGAAAAGCTTCATGACGATTATAAAATTCAGGTCAACGGTTGTCTTGATCTTCGGTATATGGCGTTAGCCACGCCGACTGTAAAACGGAAATTGGTCGAAGCAAGCCAGGGTCTTTCACTAGCAGGTATGACTGAGGTTCTCCTCGAAGCAGAAATGATGAAGGACTTCACGATTCGTTGCTCAGACTGGGAATGCGAGCAGCTGTCAGACGAACAAATAAATTACGCCAGCTATGACGTTGTTTGCGCATATGGACTGGCGGAGAAAATTGCTCGCTCTAACGACTGGGTCACGCGCATTATTGGCTTGCTTTTGCCCTCTTATTTATGGCTAGATTCATATCTGTTGTCGCAGTACTCGGAATTTATCGGTATACGATTTCACCGGAAGCAAACTAAGCTAAGCAAAAAGAGAGAAACACCTTTGCTTACATCCACAAAAGATGGTAAAGAAAAGACTCTGCGTTCGTACAGTGCTCGCAGAAAGCCTCTGTACGAAAATTGCGTTTTGCTTTGTCCTGATGGAGAGAAACTGTGTACATGTGATGCGAAAAAGGCGCAGTGGTACCTGGACCATGGACTTGGCGAAGAGGTCGAGGGTGAGGATGGAGACCCCCTAACAGTGATGCTGAACTTCGAGCCTGCAATCAGGACAATTCTTGATGGAGACTACTATAGTTCACCCAAGGACAACGTTTGTGTAATTTGTGGCGCAGCGGATAATCTTGTACGCAAGATGGTTGTACCCAAAGAATACCGTAAGCATTTTCCGAAGATAATGAAGCATCACAATGCTCATGATATAGTCCTTACCTGTATTGAATGCCACAGTCGATTTAGCAGCTCTGACAACACGCTCAAGGAGCAATTGGCTGAGCGGTGTAACGCTCCCTTGACCTCCTTGGTTGCGAAGTTCAGGGAAAATCCAGAGCTAAAGGCGGTCCGCAGCGCTGGCAATGCTCTACTAAAGAAACCACTAGGTCTTCCCAAGGACCGACAGGAGGAGCTACAGAATTGTCTTAAGCAGCACTTCAACGTTGAAGAACTTACAGAGAAACTTATCGAAGAGGCCTCAAAGCTTGAGACAAAGGAGAGAAACAATGAGTATATCTCGCACGGCCGCAAAGTCGTCGAACATTTTGCCAACCAACCAGAAGGCCTTATCCAGCTTGAATTGTTATGGCGACAACATTTCATTGATTCAACTCAAGCTCATCACCTCCCGTCGCTCTGGTCCGTCAATCATCACCATGATGTAAGTTTTCGTGGAAGAGAAGTTGCTGGGGGCCAAGGTAGATCTGCGGTTCCGTTGGTTGGGTGCGCTTTGTAAAAAATGATTGCTCAGTGGTGGCCGAATGAAAACAACTTGACATTAGCACCATTATGTGTAGACTTATTGAAGGCCGACATAGCGAAGTAAAGAGAGTACCCATATTCAAAGGTTTTACGTCATTAGGAATGAGTTGGTCGGCTCCATTTCATGACGTCTGAAGTACGCTAGGCGTATAACGCATGCGAGAAAATAGAGCTAAGTATTTGTCTTCATTGAATATGTATATAATTAGCAAGAAGTATACATTAGAAACAGGCCGCTTGCAGTTGCGATACGCTATTTCGGGGTGACTTTTCAATAACTATATACGGACACATAAGGCTAATATTGAAATAATCTCAAAACACGAACCTTGTTTGTATCAGCTGTGCTATAAGTGTGATCTAGTAATGGCTGGTTCTGTGGTGATATGTTACAAAACAACACCTCTATACTTGTATATGTAGCTCCCCCTTAATAAAATAACTACTGAAGTATATCAGCTTGTTTCGTGCGCAGCCAAGTGAGTGATTTAAGGTAATTCTGTCATTATAAAATTAACACAAAAAGTTAACATTTTATCGCGGTTTTTCCATGCAGGTGTTAGCTGTGAAAATTGCTCTTTACCGGGACGCTGACCCAGACGGGGCCGAAGTTCTCATGAAGCGAATCGGTTTAAGCAAAAGTCGAGTGGATGACGTGATGAGGAAACTTGAACTTACGGACGGAGTTAAAGTTGGCAAGATGAGCATTAAAAAGGGGCGGCTTTTGGAAACTCTTAACTAGTTATAGACTTGTGGCTTATTTAGCATTAGTATGCTGGCCATTGGCACCAAGAAAGTGGCATTAGAGTCTACTTAGACACTAAGTTGTTGAGTAAGTGGCTCACTGCAGCCAGTTGAATGTATGATGTACGTGAGCTCAATATCAGCGAAAGGAAAGTTGTGTACGCAATTGCGTTGCAATTTTTTGTTAAGTGAACTCTGCCAAATCAGTGCTTAAGAATAGCTCCGGCTAGAACAACGTGATGTGTAAATAAATTATTTGAATTTGTTTAGTAACTTTAATATTATTGTTGTTTAGTAACTGTAATATTATTGTTAACTTCACTTTGACAGTGTATCCCTAGTGCACATCGGTGTTTCGACAATATTTTTGGAGAAAAGTTGTGCTGATATATACGCAAAATGTGGCGAATAATAATCTAACAAGCAATTTACCAGATAAACGACATGCTGGAATACGATTCAGACGGATGTGGCGATTGAACGGGCGCTCTCCCTATCATAACCTTGGAAAAGGATAAAGTCTATTAACATTAAGAGCATTAATACTAAACATTTACAGCAATGATCTACTAGCTTTAGGAAGCCCATGGCTACAACAACTTTATGGAAAAACAGCCACTAGATAGAATAGATGTGAAGAAAATTGAGTGACAAGGAAAATTATAGAAGGATTACAATGAAAATATTTTTTTAAGACAGAGTTCAAAGACTTCCCGATTTGAAGATGTCTATCAGTCTTCTTGGCAATTCGTTTTACTTAATATCCATAAATGTTCGTTGGGGCCCTAGTTAGTTGTGTAAAAAAGCCATTGTATAATTGAGAGTGTGCAAACTATTTTATGCGTAGGACGCATCTCCATTCCCCCTAATTGTTATGCGCTACATAATCCTCTTCGTGTACCTAAATGTGTTATTCAATTTAGTTGTAAAAAATAAATATGGGCACTACAGAAAATTTCACCTTTTTAGTCAATGCTGACAATTCACGAACGACTCCCTGGCTCTTTTATTCCCGTACTGTGCCTACGCCTAAGTAGCACCTATAAATTCGGTGGTACTCAGGCTGAACAATTATGTCAGTTAAATATGTGATGTATCTTTAATTTAACTTACACGAATATTGCAGAAGTTTTAATATTGATGTTCAGTTTTACGTTACATTTGTCATTCAGTTATGGGCATGCCGACCTTACAAATAGCTAATTCCTAATCGATCTAAAATCTAGGATACCACTAAAACAGTCCTCGCAGAGCAGTCGCTTTGACCTGATTTTTTTCTGAAAGAGAAGAGTTTGTCCAGGGCAAGATTGACACGGTTGAATCGATTGACTGCAACCCCGGTGGAAACCCAAGCATAACCATTCCTATAAAAAAACAAAGATGGCGTGAGCTCAGGCGGCGAAATTGCGTGTCCTGTATTCCAATAAACAAAAACAAAATAAAGATTTGATTAACAGCTATGTCTAAACAGTATCGTATTATACATTCAGGTTTTGTATTTGTCAAATGTACAGCGTAACTCGCCATGCGATACTGATTTCGATGTGTAAACCTATGTTAAAACAGTGTTGCTTCATAACCTACTGAGCTGTGTGTAACTGGATAGTCGTTCGCGTGTACCCTATTTATACTTTACATTGGGCTAAGTAATTTTTTACTTAATCTAATTAGGTATCAGTTAATCAATGACAGAAAAACGGACATGAACCAAAACCCGTCCTCAAACTCCGTGTTTCTTGCGGAATATTAACCTAACCTAACGATAGAAAACCTTTTCTATCGTTGCCATAAATCGCTATTAGATAGCGAGTAAGCAGCAAATTGTATCGAAGACGATGCGAAAATCTGTGTTTAAGCTGCATTACGTTCTAAGCGATATGTCTGTGACAGGGTAGGGGATCAGTTATTCGATGTTAAAACAAGAGTCGGTTAACCCGTCTAATATTGACTAAGTGTAAGTTTATAAACCGTCTAATATTGGCTAAGTATGAGTTTATAAACAATAGCGAATATGTACCATAGCGATCAATAGAGTTCTTGACTACCACTGCTACAGTAAAACAACGACAATGAATCCAAGTGTAATCTCTTGATGTACGAACAGCGGACCATACATAACAAAATCGTCAGGATGTCCCCTGAAACAACGGCATATGTCTAAGTATCAATTAAAAGGATACAACGTCGCGTAAATGCCATGCCCATCAAATGCCAAGACTATAGACTCATCGAAAGTTTATTTTTTCGATAATCTTTCATAATCTTGTTTGAACCTCCATCAGTAAATAATTGGCATATTTGGCGTTTTAAATTAAGTTTAATTTACAGTATAACTAAAAAGATCGGAGAAACAAAACAAACATTTAGACAACTACCGCCTTATGATCAGATTTGTAGTTTTATTCGCCTTACTCGTCATCTGTTTTCAGTAAAGGTACGGTGTTTTGCGTTTGCACCGGCGTTCAGCTTTCTGTAGTCGCAAGCGAGCGTATGGTAACGAAGATCGCGCGAAATTACCCTAAGCACCGTCAAGCTGGTGCGCTGGCACGCGTTTTACCTAAAACAAGCACATTACCGGTACTACCGGAATTAGGTATACAAAAGTTCCGTTTTGTTACAGAATTTTCACGCTCTTGGCGATATTTACCGTGAGTTCTATGATAAGTATCGGTTGCCTATTTACGCTACATACCAACAACCCTCCATTTGGCGTAGCGATCTCCTTGGCGAACCTCGGAAAGATTCGATAACGCAAAACATTGCTAGTAGTGCTCGACAAAACTACTGGGGAATTTCGGGTAGTACAACCCCATACACCAAAATGATAAGTGCAACAACTACGCTCATAATATATAGTGGTGAATAGAATAACTCGCAGGTCACGCGCTTTGGCGCCCAAGTGAGCACACGAACATCATGCTTCCGTCTACCTTTATCAAGTTTTCGTTCTTTGATCCCCCTTTCACTATAAATCTTGAGCTCGGCAGGGGTGATTTTTCGTTGCCGAGAAAATTAAGAATCCTAAACTTTTCAGTAGAAAAGGTACAACAACCACTGATTCAAATGTACAGAGTACACCGCAAAAGCAAGATCCACAATAACAATTGAGTATATGTCCAACATATCGACTCGGTACACGGTCGCAAACAGAAAAGTGTGCATCGGTAGGTTTAACGAAAATAGACGAATGAAATAATATTTCTGGGACATTGACAATTAGATTATACGAAATGTGTTGAATAATACTTGGCGATGCAAAAAGTAAATCATTTACAGAGACAAATACGATACTGGTGACGCCGGAGCCGTACGGTAAATAAAGGGAATCAGGACGCAACGTATCAAGACAATGCCATTAAGCGGAACGGAGACACCTAGCTGATAGATGTAAAGAAGGTCGATCCATCAACTATGTTGTGCGCAAACACAATAGACTTCGCGTTGAAAACCGGTTAAACGAATTTTGTTTAAAAGTTCTCTGCCAATAGAACACCAATGGTAGTTTTACAAAATGCACTGAAAAGGCAGCTTTTGTACTCATTTCAGGAAAGTTGATCAATCCTCTCTCTGGCATTTTCGGGAAACCTTCGAGAGGGACCAGTGGCTTTAGTTTACACAGTTTGATTCAAAGTATGCGGGCTCGATTTCCTATTTTTGCCATTCTGCAGTGAGCTGCGGAGTTACTCTGTAATAAAATGCAATCGTACCATAATACAATGGTAGCTCATCGTTCGAGACACGACTAGCGGTATGGACGCGCACACCGCTCCCATTATCGAATATACACACAAGTCGGCGATTACGAGTAGACAGAAATCTAACAATTCGAAAACCAACATCAGGATTTTTCAAGCGTCTTGCGATTAATAAGTGCAAGTTAGCTGATGTCCTGCCTATTGCGTAGCATTTTGCTACTTACAGGAATAAAGCTTGCAGCACGGGTACCGCGATAGTTCGCGTCCGCCCCATAAACGGCGACTTCTGACCAGATCGTAATTGGGACTGATGAATTGGCCACTTCTGTTTCTGGCTTCTGTACCTGCTCACAGCATGTCATCCACTGGAACCGTCTTTTAAGTTTCTGCACAATGGATCAAGGAGAACGCGGATTTCTTGCATTCGCGGGACAAATTCCCAGCAAGATGTGAATTATCCTTTAGCCACACTGTGGCCTGTTTAACAGTTTTCAGCTATTTTGTGCCGGTACTTAGAACATCGGTCGCTCTACATAGGCGCTTTGGATTCCACAGCGATGATATCTTCAGAGAAGTCCGCTGATTTTAGACCACTTTGTGATAGCATATCCGTTTACCTCTTAAATCGTTAAAATCTAGTACCGCTCCCCAGTCGACACCTTTACTTGAAAATATACTAACGCAACAAAATCAGCGAAGAAATAGAAAAATCATAGTCCCTCATTCCAAGGGGCCAATCCTGCCCAGTACTTATTTCAGGATTAGATAGTCATCGATAGAGTTAACGTTTTACTGAGTAATGTAATGTATGCCTTACCATAATAGATTCACTACTATCACTAAATGCATATTCGTTATCGTTATGACATACTCGGCACACACTATTGTAACGGCTTCCAAATTTCGCGTGCGTTAAAGCAAAACGGATGTCCCACCGTTTTAAGCCCTTCCGCTAAATACAGTAAATATAGTTAGATAACAGTCCTCGGCCGTATTCGTGCGTAAAACCGTCCGAGATAAGATGAAATGTTCACAACTTTTGTAACGCACTTAAATTAAACATGCAATTAATAAATTAAATAAAACATTTGTATTTATGTATAAGGAGGAAGGGACCTTTCAAAAGTCCAATAAAGTAACTATCATAACGGAACATCATTGTTGAATATTCTAATAAAGCAGAAATGATCGAGCAGAGTGAGAGAGCAAAAAAAACATCAAATATCGAAGATGTGTTCCTTTAATTAACGACAGCATCGACCAAGTAATTTATTAGTTGGTTCCGAGCTAGAGGTAACGCATTTGTACAGTATTAACGACACGGCCTAAAGCAGCAAGGGACGCCTGGCCTAAAGCAGCAAGGGACATCGTATTCTTAAAACCTATGCATTACCTAGGTCCGCTTCGCTTCGATTCGTGTGTATATACACATATATATTCAAGTTTCGTGTTGAGCCATCTCTCATTGATCCAATTCGGACCGAGCCCTGTCCCGATAAGTGCTATGCTAACAATTATTTCTGACATTTCGTTTTGTTATACTATGAAGCCGGACAAATATATTGACACCCAATAATTTTATCCATTCAACGTCGTAAGGATTTGTCTTGCACCAGTTTACCGTAGTTGTTCACGCACCTGAAAACAGTCGAATATGAATCTATTACTCATAATGTAAATGATGAAAGCACGCGCATCATTTTCGGAACTCTCGGAAGGTCTTAGGTTCGGCTTCTGGCAAAAGCGCTAGAATCACCGTTCAACGTGAACACTCCTGAAATCATGCAATGTATGTTATATTAAAACTTTGTCTTTCGAAGGAACTGGAATTTACATCAGAGCCGATAGCCGCTCAGACTATACCGACAAATTTTGGATTCATTAAAGTTTAAATGGGGTCATACAAAGGATCGCCCAAAATCACAATCCTAGTTGAACCACTTGCAGCAAATACTGAAATTATGTTTAGAAAGAATAATACGATGAGAATTACCTTCCGTTTGATCTGCTTGGCTGTTGTGACATCTTGACAGAGCTTATGGAATAGATTTAGGCATTCAGACACCTTAAAAGTCTTTGGATTTTCGCAAAACCACCGGGCCATTTTTAAAGAAAGTTTATCAATTTCGTCCATGTATTTGTGTAACTTACGTATGTCTTCATCAGCTTCCTGTAAAAAAAGCATAAAGAAAAACACAGACTGAGGCAACAAGTGGCAGCATCAATGACATTAGCCTTTTTGCGAAGGATATTTTTAAACTACAACTTACGCTTGAAAATTGTCCTAGCTTTTCTTCGAGAGACGGCAGCATTTTCTCGGAAATCAAGATCTTGAGCTTTGCTACACTGGATTCAAATTCTGAAACTGTCACTTTCATATACTCTAGGTCTAGTCGACAAGCCTGTTCGATACCGACCATCTCTTCGACAAAATACAACGCTTTTGGATCTTTGTCCACGGCAGTTGTCACAACAAAATCTAGCAGGCTCAATTGATCTTCGTTTTCACTTTTTCGATTGCAGGTACGCAGCTCCACTAGTTTGCATAGATCTTTTAGGCGAAACCCAGCTGCATTACCAACGTAACTTCCCTGTAAAACACGTCCTTTGTGGTTTTAAAATTGTAATCATGTTCCAGTTAATGCGAGTAATGCCGTAAAGTGGCAGTATTTCCTGCACCTTTCGAAGTTACAATACCTTTACGACAAATGAGTGTCCAAAAATGGTCAACCTACCTGATCGAACCTGAACCCCCGGCCTACGTGAGCAGATAAAGCTAGTGATAGTACTAGTTAAACCTATAGTTGAGTCTGACCACCATATCATACACTAGTGCCAGTAACCTTACTGGCAGCATGTTTTAGAGGATACACCAGCACTCTGCTGTCCTTATTGATGCTAGGTATATTTGTTCGGGGAAGTCGTTTATATATATCATTATATACAACTAGAATAAAAATAAATCATAGTTTACAAACCGAATTGATGTAGTTTCCAATAGTCAATACGCGTCTGAAGAAGCTTTTCAGGGAGGTAGAATTCAATATGGCGTTACAAACTTGAACGAAGTTAGAAAGAGACGACTCAAACGACTTCGCCAGGGGCTTAAAATCCTCCTTCAGAAGAAGAGCTTCCACAAGGTTCGATACCTTAGGAAGGCGTAGAAGTTCCAGAAGAAATCGATCACACGCCGGAAGCGAAGACACATCTCCAGAGAATGTTTTCATTTTTGCAATCTGAAGGTGTCATGTTTAGTGATATTATCACTTAAATATCGACATGTCTTCGATAATTTAGTTTCAATTTGTTGTTTGTCCCAGCCGAAATGCCAGTACTACAACTTAATCGAAATTATAGACTTTTAAATTTAAATTAATTATGAATTAAAAATGAAGATTCAGTGGTTCGGGATAACAGAATCAACCTGATATAACAAACGCACTTAAATCAACACACGTGCGCACTTTGACAAATACTTGATTAAGTAACAAAGTGGCAATGCGTCTTACCTCCTCCTCCTTGGGAAGGATTCGATTAAGAATCTGTAGGCGCTCACCTCCCAAACGGGCACTGTCGCAGTCTTCTAGACATGCAATAACCTCTTGACTGGGCATCTTCAAACGGTGTAGTCCTAAGCTGACATGTAGCGCTCGTCTACCGTCTAGTAGTGAAATCTTCTAAAATACCAAGATGATTTGTCAGAACGAAAACGACAACCAACGATTGCTGTTTGGCTTTGTGATGACACGCAGCTGTATATTGGTATTGTCAACTACATTTCAATATTTTAGAGACAGCCCTAATGCAAAACTGACGATGCAAACTAAAATTTAGATTTTATACGGGTAGTGACCCAGGATTAATCTTATTGTTCGCGTTACGAACCTGTAAGGTAGATTTCGTGTTAGCTAGATCCTTTCTGATGTTTTTTTTAGGTGCTAGTGCAAACAGCTGTTCAAGCTGCTTCCAGTCGACCCCCTCTAATCCAACCAGCATGGCGGGGTCCTCAAAGACTTCTTTCCATACATTGTCATTTCCTGTGTGAAATAAATTCGAACGGAATATGTTGATAATCATTGTTGTTTGTTCCTTTTTTTACTTTCCATTTGCTGGTAGTTAGCTGTTATGTACCGCTGAGGAGCTGTTCCTTCGCTTTGTAAGGCTATTGTCCAAATAGTAAAATTTATTTTGGGCTCTAAAGATACGGGTTTTAGGTTAAAAAACAGAACTTTTTAGCTACTTCATTTTACATTCTCCCTATGTTAAAGAAATAGCAAAGCAAACCACTTATTTCGCGTAAGTGATAAAAGCTTAACTCAGAATCATGTCTCGCCAAAGAGTAGCTCAAGATAATCCCTGATACACTCGAAAAATTATATGCGTCCTTTATGCGTCGACTATGTCATTTTCAAACAAACCAGCTACTTTCGAGCGTGAAATCCTCATCATACAAACCAGCGTTTCGACAGTTTTCTGACTTCGGTGAAATATGAATAAGCAGTGCTAACAATGGCATGCTATGCCATGCGATAATCTATTCTTATGTCTCACGGCAGAGCTATCGAGCTATCTTTTCACCTATGATTAAATCCAAACATGAAGTACCCTAGAGTGCACGGAAAGTCTAAGTAGAACTTGAACAAGTTCAGAAACACGGAAGCAGTAAGCTAAAACTTGTGCGCTAATATATATGCACAATTGGTTCTATAACGTTTCAGAGTAAAAATATTTATATATTATCCAATTGAAAAGCTGAATAGTTTCGATTGAAACCAACGATAAAACGTGCCTAGTATCTCCGCGACCAATGTACTGACCGGCGAATACATCTTTTTCGGGTATCTTGTCCCAGTTCACAGTCTTCATTTTAACGCTGGGTTTCGGTAACGTTGCAAACGCTACTTCCGAACGACTGCATGCCGTCTTCTGTACAGGAAGAAAGGCCCCGCATGCTATTGGCATCGGAGGCGGTGGGGGAGGTGGTGAGGATGGGACTGACGAAAGAGTTGCTAAAGGGGGTGGAAATTGAGGAACTGTAGCTTTCGATGTTGCCACTGGAGTCATAGGAGCGGTTCGCTCGCTTAGCTGTTGTGGGTTGGTGCTCCTGCAACCATAGGACATGTTTATGAACGACGTTGTGGTCTGAATAGTACTAGATGAACGACTTTCAATTTCCTTGCCCTTTGGTAACACTCGTTGACCGTGAACTCCTGGCATTGAAGCGGTTCGCAGCAAAATCGGCTTCGATGTATCCGATATCGGAGAAGTTGAATGGGCCGTTATCAAAGATGTCTTAGTCGGCGTGCTATCGCAACTGGTTGAAGATGTTGACGTAACAATCCTCTGTGGCACGCGACTTCCTGGCCGAAGAGCCCCATTCAAAGCGCGCAAAAAGCTTTGCCATCGCGAAGGGTGTTTTCGATGAAGTGTCAGTTCGCTGGGGTCCTGTCTGACATATCGAGCCATCTAAATAAAAAAAATGACAGGCGTCAACTTATTCTACCGAGTCATTGGGTATAGGTTCTGAATAAGTTGAACCAGGCTATCTAAAACCTACGTTTCGAACGGAAAAGGACTTCAGTAAATTTAGAAAATAGTCGTTATAGCGATATGGGGTAGTTAGCACCCTTCCAGCACCAACAAAACAACAGAAATAAAAAATGCAAAATTCTATGAAAGATTGTCTCATCAGAAACAATACTTCCAGGATATTTCAAGCAGTATTTCGTGACAGATTATTCACAAATAGCAAAACGACACCCAGTTTTGCTACAATACTCGAGAACTAACCACTCATTTTGCTGTAGTCGTGGGGTATCCACATACGAGTGTCTGTTTTTGGCGACGCTTCGGTGCTACGCTCTGTCTAGTTTGACGCAGCAGCAACCAGTGCGGGGATACGAAATAGATGCGCTTCGTCAAAGATTCGAACCTACTTGCCTAGAAATCGATGGAATTTCCAGTAGGAGAAGCCCTTAAGCGTGAACCTATTACTTCGTTTTCATCACAACGCCGTTGATCAATTTCGAAGCACTATATTGTACCCTCACAGAATTCATCTTTGCAGTAAACTTGGATTCTAGATTTTAAATACAGCGTTGTACGTGGAAAAATGGCTTTGGCAGTATTGATCCGAGCCTAGGCAGAATCTGCGATCAGAACTGTGCAACGTATTTAGCATAGCTTATTTTTACCGAATTTTTAGAGACTAAATCCTTCTGTGAGCCCCCTAGGTCACTTGACACAGGTCGAACCGAAACCACAAAAAGTCAGCCCCGTGCACCGTTAAGGCATCAGCGGTTTTCGCCTCATTTTGTCGAACACGGAAATTTCCCAGGGCGAAAAATGTATGGCTCCTACATTGTTTTCTTTTGTGTATAGGATGCGCGTTTTTTTTTTGTGTAAATTTACTGCTGATACAATCATAGGGATACAATTTTACTGAAATTTCTCCTAACGTTTGCTCGACACTTCTGCGAGTATGGCAGTCGGTCGCATTACTCATTGACTTCTCACTCGCTCAATGATACCGAAACGTATTTATCTAGTAAAGAAACTACACGTGGCTCTTCTGTAAAATATCCATACTTTATTTTTGTCTGAATATTGCTGTTTGATATTTTCCTCTGCCCCATTCTTGTTCACTGGTTGTACAGCTGAACCAAGCTTGTCATTTGTTCTCCTCCTTCAGGTTCAAACATTTTTGCATTCATCGGTCTATATCTATGTAGAAATTGCTTAAGCTTGGTCCATCAATTTCTTGTTCTTTTTTTACCTTACAGCACTTTCCGTAATGTAAACAAATCAGTTAAACGAAAAAGAGTAACCCATATAATGTATATTGTATGTGGTAATTGTTATAAAGGCAGAGAGCGTTTTCGGCTGGCAAGTAAAATGGAGGCACGGTATTTCTCGTTATTAGCTATAAAAAACAAAATCCAGAGTCGCTTTCGAAATGTCATCTCGTACATATTGATTAAAAAAAAAATAATAGATTTCAACGTAAACATCAATTGCTGACATCCTATGAAACAGCCATTACGAAAAACGAACTACAAAAATACAACAGCAACTTCTTTTTACTTAAACGAATGCAAAGTTTACGGTAGCACGGGCGATCATTAAACAGGTTCATGCATTTAAAAGGCTAAAATGGGGTACGCTCGTCCCAATCGGCCTCGCCTGCAGCGAAGCCGGAGACATGCTGCACGGCATTTTTCACTTATTTATTATCATAATTAAATGTTGTACTATATTACGTTGCGTTAGCTTGTATTGTGATTGTGTCATGGTTTTTCAGTTGTAGCTGCGTAGATGTATGGCGATTAGCATAGAATGAATTTCTTTTCCATGGATTTCCATATATATATATATATATATAAAGTTCGTGTCAAAACCCTTGTCTCTTTCAGGGTTCTTTGTGCCTCTATTTGAGAATCGTCGCAAACTTTGAATCAGATTACCGTTACAGCTATCATCGCTGATCTGGCCGTTTCACAAGTACGCAGCTACGGGTGAAACAAGAAACACAAAAAAAAAAAAAAAAAAAAAAAAAACCGCGTGCACTCGACAAGCCTAAACGACAGCAGTATATGCAGCATACGGCGTGCATCGTACCAAGGTGAGACGAATAAGTGGATCGAACAAGTTCAATGGAAGCGGTTAAAACTCACTGTAGCATCCAAGGTTACAATGAGTCAGCCTCATTATTGCCTCGGGGGCATCACACATTGCAAAACGTGCACTCGACACAATTGAAATAAATTCGATTGGTTTTTTTTTTTGCTGAAGACGGCAATTGTTAACATTTTGACATCTATATTCATAAATTGAAACTTATGAATATAAGTGCTGAAATTTTCTGGGCTGTCGCTTATGTAAGAAGTCTTCGATGGAAGCAGAGCACGTTCAGCTGAATAGACAATTCACTCATTTGGCTTTTTACATCTCGGAAGGACGTGGTCGATGGAGCGTAATTATGCTGCTTGTATTCTGCATCCTTGCATGGTGGAGCCTGACGAGCAGTCTTCAAGCCCTAAATGAAGAGTTGGAATTGGCAAGTCGGCACTCATTTCTTAGACCCCTGGCGAATACGATTCTCCCATTCAACAACCATTGCACTCTTTTTCCGCGTGTTTACCGCCGATGGTTCCGGAGCCTGTATGTCATAAAACGAACGAAAGCGAAAATCATGACGATAAAATATCGTTACCCAATTCTATGTAGCCGGCAGGTTATGTTTTGAACATAAATTGACTAGTCTGATGAATGTATGCGCTGTACACTAGACGAACACAGCGCGACCAGTAATACGATAACCAGTGTGCAATTTGTCTAAGAAATTTGTTGCAAGACAAAGATCAAAACTTTTTCACTTCATGCAAAAAAAAAAAAAGAATCATACAATCTAATCTATAGTTTAAAAATAATATATTGTACCTTGAGAGGTTCGTCGACACAGTCGAGCAGATTAGGATTACTAAGTACCCGCTGTCGTAGAGAAGGGTAAAGAGGCGCTCCCTTCAAAGTGTCCTGGCCGTCCTTGGCGCCGTCATTCTCTAAATCATCACTTTTATTGTCGTCGTCATCTGCCGAGATGTCCCCTAGCACTGATAGGTTGCTTAGGTTAGGCTGGGATCCTCCTAGTTTCCGCATGCGCCTACAGAAGCATTCGAAAAAAGATATCTTTAGAAGGACCAACATTTAATCAGGCCAATTGGAGGCGTAAGATGCAAAAAGAAAAATGCATGGTGGACACGAGTTACATATTTGAAAAGCCTCATAAAATACCAGAGCCCTTTCAGTTTCACTATACAATATGCACCTGCTAATATAAAGTGAGGCTCTACCTTAATTCACTTTCGCGTTCTTTGAAGAGTTTAAGTTCCTGCTGAATCTTGCTTTCAGCGGTAATAAGCCCACGGCGCGGACTGAAAACGGATTTCCTTTCAAGATTAACCGAGCCAATCTCAAGGCGTGATCGACTCGATTCTGTCCAGCGGGGCTCAATTGGACCCGTCGGAACTACGTCCCTCCCCTGGCTAGCAATGAACTTCTGCATACTAATACCCCGCGCGACAGGTCCAAAGCCGGGACGCCGGAAGGGCGTGTACGTAAGAGACGAGGTCCCTGAACTCGATGATCCAGAAGAGAAAGTCCTCTGTCGCGGAGTGTGAGTACTATCTGTATTGTCAGCTTGGCCGATCTTAGCTACTTTCGAGTCGCTACGCTCTACTGAAATCGTGCGTATAACACCCTCCTTTTTCAGTTCAATCTCTTTGCGAGTTTGCTCTTCGATCTCTTTCTGAATCTTGGAAGTCACAGTGTGACGCATTGCATTTCGGGATGTTGTCGGTGGAAGATCAGAACACGAAGACGAAGTTGACGACGTAGTCGAACGCTCTGAAAGAATCGATGACGAGTCGATCGAGTCTTGACGAACCTTGCCTGCAAGAAGTCCCTTTTCACGACGAAGCGCTTCGTCGCGTTCCCTAGCTAAACGAATCTCGCGTTCGATGGGAGTCTCATTCAAGTACACTGTAGTCTCAGGTACTTCATCGCCATCATCCAAAGGCCGAACTTTAATCTGACGACGTCCGGTATGTTTCACTACAGACAAAAAAAAAAGTACAGATTATATTCGGAGACATTTGTATGTGGTCTAATACACAATGAAAGTACGAGGTAATACGTGCACAAATCGTTCTCATACCTAAATGCATTCTTCAGCAAAATTGTTCAGTAAATATAATTTAGAAAGGGTCATGCGTACAGGTTCTCACCGTCAAGTAGTATCTTATCACATCTGTAGGATCATTGATACAAGGACGCATAGATTCCACTTACATACGGCGTTCTCTAAGTATTCGCATAGCATCAATACATAGCAGTAAAGATACAACTATACTGAACTATACCGGAAAATATACGTACATGAGGGCGAGATGACGCTACGCGGTACAGACGCAGTTGTTGCTTTAACAATTTCAAACTTCTTATCTCCTTCTTTCTCCTCCTTGGTCTGGACCTCCTGGTTCTGCATTTTTAATTCTCGGTCCTTTTGAAATCTCATCTGGAGGTTTTCGCGCACTCGTCGTAGTTCCTCCTCACGCTGTTTTAGCTGTCGAATCTCATCCTCAATTTTGGAAGCCCCGGAGTCGCCGACTCTGATACATTTTGGTGTGGAAGTAGCTAGCGGTTTGTACGAAAGTGATTTGGCCTTGAATGAGGGGCGGTCGTCCTGCAAACCCAATATGAGAAAACATAATTAGGTGGTGTATTCAATAGTATAAACTTCTCCGTTTAAGGTAAAACGAAACGGATACTTTTTAAAATGGACTTCTTCTAAATGTTGACTGCGAAATCATTAGGATTTAAAATTGATACCTACCATGCAAATGCGCGAGAAACTGAAATCGGCATGGAACATACCAAGGCTCAAGTTAAACGAACCGTAATTGATGACCCGTCTTTATTATTATTGGCTTCGAAACTGCATTGGTTCGAGCTGTTTACTACTGCTTGAACGTTGTGTGAGTATTCAGTCTACAGAGCCCCTTTATTTGACCTGCAGCGTTGCCTATTAATTTTAAACAAATTTCAAACCTGAAGTAACTTTTCAAAAAGATACTTACTAAGACAGTAATATTAGAGGAACAATTGTAAATACCGTTCAGGTTTTATAAAGTGAACAAGTTTGTGACTTCCATTGTCATAGCAATACATTTAATTAACACCTATGCAGTTCATGAGAGTGAATTGCATTTTAATCAGCGTAAATCTATTTTTACTTACAAGGAGATTCCTGGTGCTACTGGAGAGGTGCCCAATTTTCTCCTCAGCTTTACGACGAGCCTCGAGTCTTTCCTTTTGAATTTCTTCTTCACGTTCCTTTTGCAAACGGATTTCCCTGGCAATAATGGTTTCCTCGCCACAAATCGGCTTGAGGGCTTGTGGCATTAGTTTCTTTGGGTCCACCTTCAAGCATAAATAGAGGTTCAGTGTTAAGTTTAATCGAACTTAACACTGGTACAATATAAGGTACAATTTGACTTCCAGCTATCATCATCCATTAAATCACTAAAGCTTGATGCTGTTACAGCTAACCAATCAAAATGGTGTCTTTCAAAACGTATTTCTGCATATGTTCCGATTTTGATTACGTAAAAAAGCTTAATATACTTTTTGCTAATAAAGAATAATGTCTCGGATGCTACCAACGCGCTGAATTGCAGAAAAGGTTATTAGCAATAGAATCTGCAACTTACGCTCATAGGTGGTCTGAGGGTCTTGAGAGGATCTGGGGTTTTGTTTCGTTCCTTGGTATCCTGTTCGCGTTCCTGTTGCTTAGTCTGTAAAGTCAATTCTTGTTCCTTCTGTGTTTCCTGTGTAGATTGTCCCTGATCACCAGCACGTTCTTGGATCTGACCAATATCCTCAATATCTTGCTTGCATTGTATTTCGCCTAACAAGTCATCCTCTTCTTCGGGAGACGAGCACTTAAGCAAAAGGTCGCTGTCGCACTCCGGATCGGACAACGCTAAGATGACAGAGGAGCAAGTTACCAACAAGGTTAATCTTGAATCGAGAAAAAGATCAATCGTTACTCGACGTACAAATCTACGACTAGTGAATCAATACATTGACTTTGTGTTTGTCCAGCAATCACGGAAAAGGGTACACAAAACGCAGAATAATGCTATTATTAATAAATGCGTTACAGATCACGCTTAGCTCGACACTAACCTAGTATAACTTAATAAGATATAAATTAAAAAGGAAAAGTATATATATATATATATATATATTATGTAAGCTTTCATTGGGCGCCAGATTTTAACCAATAGGAGGCTTTAAAATACCTACAAAAGTGATAAGATCAAATGGCCTACCATTATTATCATGAATCTCAATACGTCATAAACCTCGTATCGATTCTGCAGCTTATCGCAAAAGCATTAGCAGAACATTCAACTCTGTGCAATCTAATTAACAGTAGGACGCCGTCGGAAGTCGCAGCATTATCTAACAGCATGACAGCATAACAAATTGATAGGCCGATCATGTATGGATACGCCTTTATACCGTTGATCGACCAGTAAAATAGTGAAATATCTACCGGTGTGGGGAAACCTCTATACATATTTGGTTTTGGTTCAAATCGAAGAAATCGACAGCGGCGGATATTGCGATAAAATAACATCCAAATTATTAAGGTTTTAAATAGCTAAAGGAATTACGATGTTACATGTATCTATACGCTGATGTACACCCGTATACATCAAGGGGCGAATCGAAAATTGACGGTCCGAAGTTAATCTCCACAGCAACCCCTCAATTAAGTGTAGAAGCTTATTGATGAACGCATTTTATTAGTGTTGCAGCATTATTACGGTTATGCACGTTCGTGCAGTTGACGTACGTACCATAAAGGTGAGCTCAAGATGTGTTTTCTTACGGATGTGGCCTTTCAGGCCGATACACTGTTGCAATAGACGATAGCAAAGAGCAGACAAATGGCTCGCGGACGCAGCCGTCGCCTTACCGCTAATAGGAGCGGTGTCTTCTACCATAGTGTTCTCCACTATTTTCGGCAATATAAACCTTGTCAACCATATACATGAAGTGAGCTTTGATAGCATTGAGCCATATGTACTGTGCTCGAATAGTCTACGATTATAAGACGAAATGGATCAACGAAACGGCGCCGTTCATAAGAACCTACGTACATAAGGTAAGGGTAACAACGACAACTTAACATTTAAGATGAAACTACCAATTGCCTCGTAAGCAGCTTAGACGCTCCATTAAACGAGCAATTTCATAAACATGGCTCTGGCAACAAAACAAGATGAGCCTAGACTATAAAGACGGACCACTTTCAGTGTTTGCATTGGATAATTGATTATAGGAACAGTGAAAAGCCAGCTATCCTCTTGTATTATTTTTTCGACACCTACTTCTGTTGGATGTATGATAATAATTTAAGACTAATCCTGAGCTAGGCCACTGCGCTTTTCGCGCATTTGCTTTTTTCGCACGATAAAAGATTTTTCTCATCTTCGTAAATTGACATATAGTTTAAATGGCCCTATGTTCTTCAAAAGAAAACATGTCGAAGCCAAGCATATGTTGAAATTGTATTTGTTATGGGTTAGCCGGCGACAAAACAGTGTATGTTTTAGGGAATAAACAAATCAAAAATAAGAATTTGAACAGTATCAGCCCAATCGTCATATCTTCCTTCGTCGATTTCCGTTTCCGCTACAAGTCGAGGGCTTCAGGTCGTTTGACTGCCAATTTCGCTATTGTTAGCATGTCGCGTATTCGCTCACCAAACTCGCGACAAATCGATGGTACAGACGCCAAAAAGCGCGCCAAACGGTTCACAAATACACCGAGCGTATTTTAATGTAACGGTACTATTTTTTGACTCACATTTAATTTGGTAAAATGATGACGATGATTTATTCTACTGTCCGGACGAAGATAGACGTCACTACGATTAGCTCAATTGTGAACTGAGGCATCAACTCAATATAAGGCATATTGCCAAATCTTGATGCCTATTACAAGGACTCGATTGCTCGCCATGTGCAAAGAAGAATGGTAAAGGCTGCAGGTGTAACATTTTAATACAATATAGATTATATATTCGATTGAAGTTGACTCATGGGTCTAGTAGTATGGGTCATAGTATGGGTTTAGCTTTTTATTGCTTCGCCCTTCTATATTTCGTTCTTTCGGAGGATCGCTATTAATTCTTCTTCAACTAGTTAAGGAGCAGATGAACTATCTCCCTCTATATGAAAGCTATAATTAGGCCTGATATTTACATTGACTCAATAGCCTGTCACAACTGCTTTGTTAGGACGTTTGTCACAAAACGTAACGGGAAACAAGAGAATAGTTTACTCAAATTTTCTTAATAATATTTATCTAAATGATCCGCTTTCTACTTTTAAACAATAGATTGATGTAGGCCTTTCCCTAGAAAATTCCCAAATACAAGCAGTTAAGTGACAATCATCTTTGATCGATGAGTCTCCAAAGTAACCATTTTAACAACTAGGTATAACGAAGAACATATATAGACGTCGGGCGTATATGATCAAAAATTTCATAGCTATATCTATTACAAACCAGAGTTTGAATGATCATAGTGCGAGTGCTGTGAGCTGTTAGGCGAGGCAAGCATATCACGGGAAAGGTCCGATGTAATTGAAGAATCAACAGGAGATCGAGTCGCAGGCGATGCATTCAGTGGGGCGAGTGGGGCCTGATGAGTGGTGACAGGGCTTCCTACAGTTTCGAGAGGATGGGCTGTACCGTGAGCCTTTATTGAACAATCCGCATAAATTTCCTCCTCGGTTTCCACCTGTGAATAACGACGGTTAACCATTACTCAGATCAAAAAGAAAGCATTTACGACCCAAATTTACAGCGGTAGTCTGGTCTATATTTTGGCCGATAAGTTTACAAAAATGAGTGAAGTCCCCCCATACAAGATGCACGCAGTGATTATATAGCACCGCACCTCTTCGTAAACAGGATCTTTCTCCTCACAGCTTCCATAGTCTGAGCCGTTGCCTGAAGTGTTCTCGATAGACTCGAAGATCAGCTCTTCGGTAACATCCTGAAATTACAGCGAGGGGCAACGATTATATTGCAAATGCACGAACTCGTAAAAAAATACATCTTGCTCACTGGAAACTACTGGATGCAGACACTTCTGTCGTTATGTAATCAGATTATCTTCAGAATTTCGTGATTAAGATATATAGGAGGATGAATCTGGGCTCACTGTTAACTAACTCATATCAGTTTTCATAACGATTTTTCAGCTTGTCACCATTTGGCCACCTTTCTCACAAAAAAAAAACGTACACACGAATTTCAAAAAAGACTCAATTGCTAGAGCTTTCTGTTTTCTCTAGTTACAATAAACAAGACAGCAGCGACACAACGCGGGAATGAAGGCCAGCTGTGAATAATGGGCAAAAACAAATGATGCCAACAATTGCGCTAGCATGAAAGCTAGCCAGAAAAAAGTGCCAATTTTTCACGATGATTCGGTACGTTAGCAGCAAACGCTACGTAGAATTCGCTCCGAAAACTGTTATATACGAATATGAAGAGGCCATCAGCAGAAGGGGCATCGCAGTAATGGCAAAGTAGCAGCCGTAATGAACTACTACTACGATTGATGTCATCCGTTTCCTTCGTTCCGTGCTGCAAAATGACGCGACCGTTACAATAACTATACATTATATCCTAATGATAAAAGATAACGGCTAACATCTGATCAGCACGTGACAGATGTTGTAACTTTATGAGCAGTAGCGTAATAACGGTAGGAAGAACATAATAAACATTACAGAAAAGAGGAAACAGGTTCAATGGATGCATAAAAAGAGAGGTCGTAGTTGTCTTCTTGCGTGCTTATTAAATAGAGTGCATCGGAAAAGTCAACTGAGCTTCATATGGAACACCAATGATATCAAACCGTGATGTTCACTGGAATCGTATAATAACAGCAATAGCATACCACTAAATAACATATAATATTACAGAACTAGTGAATCGAAACGCTATAATTAGAATAGTAAATAGTGTTATTAATATATATATATATATAATGATACAAATGTTATTACCGCAGCTTTTTAATCAAACAAAAACAAAACTGATTGGCTTATTCATTTTGTTGCATTCTCCTCATGATACTACCGGTCTCTGGCGCCGGCAGCGTGTGAAGCATGCCGTGCACGTTATAGGCAGGATAGAGAGATGTTTATTATTCATAATAACGTATAGTCGTCCTTTCTCTCGCTCTCTCGGTCTGCTCTTACGCGTAATTTTTCGACGCCCAGCCTTTTTATGATCTGATACCTGTACTATAGATTCCGCCTTTCGTATTATGGAAGACAAGCCTAGGTTTCTTTCATTATCTAAGAAACTGAGGGCACGTCCACATTCGCGAACAGGTATGCGATAAAGCTAGGTAGTAAGGCAGACAGCATTGTCAACGCAACTATATCCATCGACTTCACTGCTCGATTTTTTTTCTTGTGAGCTGGTAAGACCTCAAGGCTCTTCTCTAGCGGGTGCAGCTATAGTTAATATCTGCTCTTGCGGAAGCGCTAACTGACGATGACAGAAGGTTCAGTCAGAAAAAGACATCGAGGATAGCTTCCTAGCATAGATACACAGCGCACCGAATGCTCCGTTTCAGCCCTCTCAGCTGAAAAATAGATGATCAACGGATAACAGAATGCTATTATATGCACTTTACGTATTCGTGTGCCTGCGTAACCAGTGCACAAAACCGTAGAGCTCAGTAGTGGGGCACTGACTCCGTCTACGGTCCGATGCCCTTTCGATATTGTCGTCGTCGTCGTCACCACATCATTACAATCATCATCATCAGTAATAATAACAACAACAACAATAAGAGCTGACTGCCAGTTGCAACGGAATCTGCACCTTCGTGAAAAGTGTGGCAATTTCAGCATTAGTGGGAGGTTGCCAATTGTAGACGTTTTCTTTCTGATCGTATTGTTCCAGACAATTTTTGGTTATTAATGTGAGTTCGGGTCACTTTTGTCTCTGCATTACTAGTTCTCTTGTTAAGAAACTGCAGAGCGTAGTTCATATCTCAAGGTCTTCAGTGATCTTCGGCACCTGTAATGGCAATCGATGAGGCAGTCGTTGGGTTCGCCACAAAGGCTAATCACATGCACCCAGACTAGTGAATAAGTACGAAAAAAGATGTAGTATATTACAAGAACAACCTCGTTTAGGATGTGTGTGTAGCTCCGACAACGTGACGCCGAACGATGATGACTCTAAAACGGCACGTGTACGGCAACGCAAAACTGCACTTAGCACTGTTATATTGGATAATTTCTGTTGTTCCTGCTTTCGAGCTTTTCATTCTGCAATGAATGAGATTAACAACGAGAAAAGTATGTGAAGAGTTTTGCCCTGCGTCCATCAGTTACTTCGAAGGATTAGGGAAGAGCTTTGCTATAAGGACAACAAAGCTAATGCTGTATTTCTGCTCTCACTATAAAATAAGAGTTTTCGTACGCAACTTCGATGTGATAATTATCACAGCGAAGTAGGCGTTATAACAAATGAGACTCGAACAGGTTTTCAATGAGGTAACAGAAGACATTTGCCAAAAATAGAAGAAAATAATATAAAGTTCCTAGTCCTATTGACTGTATAATTTCTCAGGTACTTGTCTAAAGAGTGCTTTTCAACCTTTACTTATTATGTCCATAAACAGAAGTAAAAAACCGTCAAGCATAATGATCTTTTAGAGATACGGTACATTGCTCGTTATACTTCAAATCTAATTGTGAAATTGAAAAAGGTCTTCATCAATTAAATCTGTCCAGTTTGTCCAGTTGACCAAGCGTGTGGGCTGATATGATACGAAATACTACTATCTATGGACAGCCATATTTATTTTCTATTTGATCTCGTCTCGAGACTGTTGTACGTCGACGATACAGCAGTTTCGATAAAAACGAAAGCATTATATCACTTGGTTCTTTAGGCTACAACTGTTGTTTCAGATAATCTGGCCGTTTAATAGTAGGCTCGCGTTAATACATTAGGTTACTTATACGCCGTGGCCTAAAAACAATGAACAGTTATCATTCCCATTTAGATAGAGATTTTCAATTATCCATATTTCGTATTTCCATAAGCATTTGGTTAGGCTGTTCATGAAAGCACTGAAGTGTAAATATTCCCCCAAATAGATTGACCTCACTTAGATAATACATGACGGCAAATAATAGTGCTATCTTTAAATATGCCCTCTCTATCCTAGCTTTTGTTTCTCGAACAATTGTATCAGTTATTTCAATGGACTTAGTATGCCATACTCAGTTGCATGGCTTTTGCGAAACTTCCGCAGATCTCATGTGTTCATGTACTGTCAAGGGAAATTACGCAGTTTTCTGAAAACTGCTCGCTAGCTAGATTTCCATAACTGCGTGGCTGCCTAGGGAGACGCTACACCGTGTTACGATTAACACTGCGCTTTTGAAGGCAAAGGGTACTGTGAGCATTCTCAGTTATTTGCCCATTCATGGCATACCCCATATGAATTCGCCGTGTCGACTATGCTTCAATCAGGCCACAGCAACACCTACCCATCCTCATTAAGCCTCAATGCTAAAAATAAACACTCGCTTAGCTCTTTTTCGGCGTCTTCTGCTGAGTGAGCATCCAGTTTTCGTTGCAATGTTGGTTTAGCAGACGAAACATGCAGCATCAGTGACGCCGACGCGATTAGCCCAGAAACCCATGTTAAATGGCGGACCGTTCTCCTCTGCACTATCAGGGAAAGTTTGATCATTGCCCATAGTCGCCTCGAACTAGTGAGATACATAGACGTTGTCTCGGTTTTATTGTCAGTCACTCAAGCAGCTAAGTAACCAAATATTGAGACGGTCTCGCCAATATTAGCAGGAACGGTTACCGTCGTCCTCGAAGGGATACCATATCTTGCGTATACCATTGTCACCATAATTGTTTATTGTCTTATTTTGTGGTAGCACCACCACCAACTACTACTAATGTTGAAACTATTCTTCAAGAAGCGTTGTTTCGTCGTCTTCAAATAGTATATATAGTTTTAAAGAAGGGTGCTTATTTGAATGGTTCGTTGTAGATCCAACTGTAGGCCGGCAGGAGGGCGCGGGTCAATAGTGCTGTGGTAGAAGTGACTTTAATTAGTATTTGGTCATGCAAACTAGGCGCAGGACATCCTAGCATTGCCTGTAATGCTGTTGGAAACAATGATGAAAAATAACCGTACCAGTAATCGGGGAAATATATTACATATTAAGGCCAAGTGGCTATTTTGTGTGAAAGCAAGCAGAACCATGCTCTGTGCCTCGCCTCCGTATGCAAACAGCTAAAGTCATTGCGTTATTGATCCCCCACATGGCATGTCATTAAAACGCAAGAAGGTCACCTGACATTTTCTCGAACTTAACTTAATTGAAAAGTAGGTTGAGCTTAAATTATGCGTTCCAGTCATTCACATGATATCCATGTTGTTTTACTAGCCCCGCTGCTTTTAACCTTTTTTTTTTTTTTTTTTCTGATTTCAGCTTTCTGGGAACATTTATTATTTAGCTATATAATTTTTTTTAATGAACTGTAAAAATTGTACGAGCCGTTTGTTAGTAATTCAGTTATGAAACTGAAAACGCTATTGCTCCTAATAGCAGATGATTCAAGATTGAATTGAATAGGTATATAATCGGCGTTGCCATCAGGTCGTTATCGGCCGCCTCACTGTGATCCTTGAGGCGTAACGCCTAAACCTTTAGCTTAAAAGGCCATTGCTGGCGCATCCTGTTGACTGTGAGTCAGCGCCATTTCATAGCCTCGTGGAGCTGAGCTTTCAATTATCTGCAGTCTTGCCGCACGTGCACGGATTTTTTTTGGGTATGGCGCAATTTAGCCAGCTGGCGAGCCTTGGTATCAACATGTACGGTTTTCGTTCGATCGGATGCGACTGCATCGAGACGTGCGACGCTGAATTGTCGGAGGAAATGACTTTCAGCTGAATACTTGTCAGGACAGCCTCACTATTACACTATAGACAGGGTGTCAAAAGAGCAATTGGCAGACTCTTTTGTATTGCTAGTCCGCTAATAGATGGTCACATACAAAATAATGATCTTGCTTTATAAGGTACCAGCCCCGTTACTAACCATCTTGTAGTATAAAATTCAGACCCTAGTATATGAACGTGATTTAATTTTGCTATATAATTTTATAATGAGCTTCCATCTTCAATTCTAGTTGTCGATAAAAGATTTGTAATGGTCTATGACCCAATATCTGCCTCGACATTTGCTCACTAAGCGAAATTTTAGCAATAAATAAGAAACAGAAATTAATCCCGTGTTAGCTCAATTCTGTTGACAGTGCGTCCGCAATTAGCCTTACGATATTGCCAGTGCGCCAAATCCGTTAACGGTGATCGTTTGCGCTTTTGACTTTCTGTTTTCCTTATTGAAGATAGATGAAGATTATCACTTGTTCCATCCGCTTCCAGCAAACTGAACCAGGCGTAGTGTATTATAGTAGTATAACAGTGCCGCCGTAACAGTGCAGCGTTGTGAACAAATCGATCAGGATTCAGCTCCGTCAATGTGCCTACCTTCGCTCATTTGACCTTTGCCACTGTTGTCGTAGCAACGCTTTCTACTCTTTGAAAGCTCGTAAATCTGCCTAATTCAATTCGACATTGCCACGACCGAAATCAAACACAATAAATACCATGATAATATCGTCATATTAACGATATACGTATGAGAGCGCATGTGCCATAATTGTGTACCCGGTCATTACGAATCGTTGTTTTTTTCACCCTTATTATCACTATCATTATGTTTATCATTACTGCCCATGTAACTATATAGCTAGGCCGTCCTAATAGAGGGTCCAATAAAAAACTTATCGCTATTTGGGACGAGAGCCCTTGATTGATCGCAATACGAGCTTTTTTTTTTGTTGACGTCAACTACAACGATGTTTCCGAGAGGTTGGACTAAATCGAGACGGTCCGCAAGCCAAACAAACTCATCGTTATAATCGTCAGCAGATAAGATGTGACGCGTGAGACTGGCGTCGTGGACATAAAAAAGTACTGCGCGTTCTAAAAGAAAGTTTCCATTATATTGATAGAGACACTTTCATTATGCATTAATTCCTCATATGCTCTTTTTTTTTGTCAGCAACGGGACACTTCTCCCTCAGCAATCTCGTGATGTCACGAAGACTCAAGCTAACAAACAGGTCTGAGCTTACACGTTTTGCAATATTGACATTTAGAAACGTCTAAAGTATCAGCCCTTGATTGTCCATCAATATATTTCGTATTAAGTGCACTTCCAGCCCAAACAGTTATTTCGCTAGAAGACTTTGCCCCATTATTCTTTATCCCTTTCAATGCTCGATAGTCCACCAGCTACTAGATATCCAGGCTAAACACTGACGGATGATATAGACGATTTGGGGCTTGTTGCTTCCTTCCTATAACTGGCGCTGGCAGGCCGATTGGAGGCCAACAACAGCTAATCGTCGAAGCATTGTGCCTTGGCTGTTTCTTGCGGTAATACCAAATTTTGCTATTCTTCACGACCTGGCAGATGAAACAGTGCTGATGTCTTCTCTATTCCATTGGCGGAGTACTTCATCTCGTTAATGACAGGAGCGTACGCGGGCCATGATACCGACAGGTGCACGATAACAAAATGATGAAGTGCACTAGCGTCGGAGTGAGTCAACGATCGAATATTCATGTCGTCGACAAATTTATGCACAGAAGGAAAAATCTTCCAGCCCAACATTTTCGTTTTCTCGCGGGACTACCTACCTGCTTATTAGTTTTTTGCTTCGAAATCGATGTTCCGCTTCCTGTGGCTAGCGGTGGCAGTGACATTTTGTAAACCGTTCCTGTAACTGTGTTTTTACTATACTTGGCGTTGAATACCGGGATATTTCATATTGTCACGCGACCACATACGGCGATGCTGGCAGCGCCAAAAACAAATAACTTTTTACGGATTATTCTTGCTAATACGCAACGGTATGATAGCAAATGACAGGTCGCTTGTTTGTTGGTGTTTGGTCGTTGCTGTGACTTGCGTTTAATAGCAAGGCGCATGAAGCTATCATTGGTGACCAGAACTTTCGACTGGGCCGTCGGCAGCATCAACAGAAAATAACAACGGTCTGACGATTGCCTACAGAGATAAGTGGCGAAAGACAACTAAAAAGCAATCGGTACCATTGATAAGTATAGGCAAACACACGCGCACTCGATAAAAATACATTCGGATAAATAGCACATATAGTTAACGTTTAGAGCACCGACTGTGTTAAATTCAGGTACGCTGTTAGTCCAACGTAACTTTGTTGAAATTTGTTTATTCGTTCCATTTTAGCTGTATGTCTAAATTTTGAGTGCAGAGCTCGAGTTTTTCTTTCAGTTAGTCACGCATGTTGCATAGTATGTACTCATGGACGGGTAGCGGCAATTAATCTACACGTTGTTTTTGTGTGTACCTGTGCGATACTTCCATTCACCTTATTCAGGTGGATAGTGGCGTCCTGACAGTTTGTGATGTGAGGCGCGTCCTTCTGCTGGTCGTGTTGCTCGTGGTGGCCAGTGGTCGCGTGGGTCAGCAGCTGCTGCTGCTGCTGCTGCTGCTGCTGCTGGGATGACTGCAGTTCGGGCTCTTCGTGGAGAATCTCCATTTCGATGCGTTCCTCTTCGTCTTGCCGGCGGGGGTAACTCCCGCCACCGTTGCCAGCCGTGTATCCGCCTTGCGACTCTGCAAAACAAATAAACGACATGCGATTAGGGCGAAAGAGTGATATTTAGAGTGGTAACGCCTCATGAAAAAACCACAAAATCTCTCATCAATTAACTGCTCTCCCTTTAGATCACAAACTTGCCATATACAAATACCTTAAAGCTTATGCTATTGCATTTTGTACATCCGTTTTCCTACGGTAACGTACGTTTTGGCAAAACAAAAGAAGTAAACACAACTGAAAACGGTACCTGTTGCGCTGACAAAAACGACCACAACAGAATGTAACGAGTTCATGTTGTTGTGAGACCTGACTGAAAAACTGACAACATTAAGCAAATTTACAATTAAATATATGCTTTTGTCTATCATTTCCAGGTCCTGATATTAGATTTCTCGCGAGCAGAGCCTATGAGGAAAGGTTCCGTTTATCTATCAATGTATGCAACAAGGTTGGCGGCAAGTCGATAGCTTATATTAACATGTTTTAATAACAAGTGTCCTTGAAAAACTACACAACAAAGGTCCCCCTACATATTTTCCTCTTAATAATCACAAGACATGAGATCGGTGCAACGTTAGCCAAAGTTACACTCGTTGATGACGGCACTGTAATTTTCTGCTCTGCAGAATTAAATACGCAGGGTAAAAAGGACGCCTGGGATGTCGTTAAACTTTTTATCCAAGTCAGCAAAGAGTCTATTCCACTGAAAAAAATATGCCATCATTAAAGGAGGATGCTATAAGCATATATAAATAATTAGAATAAATTAAAAAAAATGTAATAATACTACCTTCGATTACCAAATACGTCAGCTGGAAGCAGAAGACGACGCCGTAAAAAGCTTGTCTAAAATGACGTTTTTTTAGTGCCATAGAGGAAATCTTTACCTAACAAACTTATACAGTGGTGTTGAAGCTACAAACGTAGATACGCCGTCATGGAAGTTTAGACATTTCAATACGAAGCGTTTCCTCGAGTTTCTGATAAGGCCTGTTTATCCACTGTCTGGCAGACCAGGGGTAAGTTAATAATTTTTAGTGCTTATCGACGCGGCAATGACTGGGCATTATTACAGTTTAATCAAAGAAACGTTTTTAGCCAAGCTTAGTAACAACAGGCCTCGAAGGTCTAATTGGTAAGACGACAGAGTTACTTACAGAACCTTAAAACTAGAATCTTTAAGCATCTATTTTAATTATAATGCCAATATTTTCGACAAACGAAGGTGGTCAAAAGCATCGTTAAGATGATCCTTTTACATGTCTACACATTGATTTAGTATTGCTAAGTCTTGTCATCGGTCCTGGATTTAGGAACTCTATATTTTGTTGAGCTGTTCGCGTAATTCTTTTGTTTAAAAATAGCTTAATTATTACTGCTATTAGTTTTAATGCCGCAATATGGTGATAATTAGATAATTGCAAGCATGTGTGAATCGGATCAATGCTCCGTTAGTCTTTAATAGGCGGTCGCAGTCAGAGAGTAGTAGACTCAGAGTTGCTTTTTTGTGTTAGCTTCGGTCGGGGCCGCTTCTACTGACATTACATCACGACCATTATATGATACCATGATAGTATAGCAGTATTATGGCTGGTCATTGCCCAGCATAGCCAGACTCTTACCAACGAAGATAGTTGAACGACCATCCCTTTGCTGGCCGGTTGTAGACGTGCATTATTTCAACAATCATCAGCCGGATCGTCACATAGGTCACTGACTATTACAGTAATAACAAGATCGCGCTGCGGTCCTTCCGCCTGTTCTACGCCGCTGCCCCGCACGCCCTCTACCTTGTCACGCTCCTGTCGACAGATGATACAGAGCATCTAACCAGGTCATCTCCATGTTGCCGTACATCATATATATATATATATATATATATATATATATAAGAACAGTAGCAAACGTTTCAACGATGTTGATCCAAAAAGGTAGAACTACGCATCGTTCCCAATCGCAATCACATGCCATCCCAACGTGAGAATGTATGCAACGAAGAGAAAAAATGGCCCAGAGCTGAATGTCGATGCCAGTCGAATAGATAGTTACGGGTACATGGGCTGCACATGGGCCCCTGACCGGTCATGCCCACCATTGCGATTCCGAATCCCGGACTGTTGTATTTGTTGTTGAAGAGGTATCGTGTTAAATGTTAGCGGCGGCGTTGGCGAGTGCCCTGGTAATAGCCGGGGCAGCCACAGACGTATGCGTAGCTTTAAATCACCGTTTTCCGTGTGTTTATTAAACTTCGTTTCCTCAGTCAGTCCCATCAGTATTCATCATTGTTCATTGTCGAACGACTGTTAAAATGCCTTCTGTCCCTGAAGCCAAAGCCACTGGCGAAGATGGACCTTCGTCTGTAATAAAATTTATCTTGTGTAATTTTGCCTGCTGCCCCGCTGCCCGGAGACAAAAAATGGACAGAACTGAATAGACTATTTTAGCTGAAATAGTCAAAATTGTTGAATAATTTTCCGCTACCACCGTCAAGTGACCACCAACGGAACCGCTTACCTAGACTGTAAAAATAACAACGCGACGCATGATGCAACAGGATGGTTGCCCCTTATTTTGGAGAAGGCTGTAGGTGAATATAGAATTTCTTTTTAGAAAGGCTAACTTCATGGGCTTTGGTTGGTCTTATGCGTGGAACCTAGTTTGATTCTCAGATGTTTACGGCTCATACTTAGTAAGCTTCTGAAATTCAAAAAGCCGATCTTTTAGTTGCATTGTACGCATAACAGATAGGTGCATTTTGAGTCTACTCAGCTGCAGATGTTACCGTGAGATCTGCTTTGTAACTACATAGATAGCTTCATAACAATAGTTTACCACCAGGTAGCGCTGGGAAATTTTGTGCTTGGTTTTTTTCATATGTCTCATTGGTCTCCGACCCATTGAATGCAAGCACCGTAAACCTTTTACCCGGCTCCAGTTGTCAAGTCTGTCATGACTGACTCGAAGGTTTAAGCACATACCACTTATAATCACAAACTATATACTATATGTTATTGATAAATTATCTCCGCATTTTAGTTTCTATTGACATACTAACTTTCGTACAAATTGTTTCGTCACAAACAATGTTACATGCCAATGACTTAGGGTCGAAAAACGGGTTGAGTTATCTTCGCCTATTATGGCCTATATATATACTTTCATCTTTTCAAATGAAAGATTGATGGTGAAATTTTCACAGCTCACACGGGATAAACGGTCTTTTAGCTTTATGTCGTTGCGTGTCTCTACCTATCTGCTAACCTGTTCTTAAACATCGACAAGCGTCGATACGCGTTCGGCTTCAGAGTGTTAAATTCAAGCTTGACCACAATTACTTTTTGCCTCGAATCGGACGATTATACAAAGCGGGTACAGATTCGTCGTCGTGGCCACCGGCAGTCAGGACGAAGCTGCTTTTGACAATCGGTGACGACAAATCTGTCCCTATCGTCGCTCGCGTCGTTACAACTCTCTTCGTTATTGTTGCTCCATTGGACGCTGGTCGAAGCAAACAGCAAACACTAGAAAACACCGACCTACTTCGAGCTTCCCATGAAAATGAACGGACCACTAATTTACAAGCCGTGCACTACCCAAACCCATAGCAAAACTAGCATCCACCAATAGGTGACTGCCTGCAAAAAAATCCAAAATCGCAGCTAAAACCACCGTGCACGCGCTTTGTATTTAGACCGCACCTTATTATCCTCTAACTATTGGTGAACTAGAGTCACAACTGGTGTACAGCTAGGTAATTTCTGCAAGTAGAATGATACGCAAGTCAACGGGCCAATACACTGCCTCATTACAGGTGTTGAACGGGCTTTAATGCAGAACGTGTTAACAAACAACATGTCCAATGGAGACCCTCCAGCCCCCTTTCCTCCCGCCGGCCCGTCCCAATATACATATAATGGAGAAAAGATAATGATAATTGCTGCGGTGTGCCCCGGCATCATTTCATTGTAAGCAAACGCGAACCCTGCAAGCCATGAATGAACCTGCAATACCTCAACAAGTATTGCTGCTATTTCGCCCCCCTTTTTCGCTATTTGTCCCTATTCCTTGTGCGTGCCGTCAGCGCTGAACTATGCTTAGGACAAACCCTTCCACTGTTTTACCTTGAGCATGTTCGTCTTCGCGTTCGTTGGCGTCGTTGTTTTGCTCCTCTCCGCCCGTCCTCCTGAAGTTGCTCCTGTGTTACTTATTCTAACCAAGCTGACCTATCCATGAACTTGTATCTGGCAATCCATCTACGTGTCGAATGTAGTCATAGATAGTCAGGGCAAACCAGCTTCTCAATGTTGGTAATCATGAGTCATTAACACAACGAAAAAGAAAAGCGTTCACCAGCCCGTCGAGGGAAGGATAGGTTGCTTCTTTATTTGCCTATACGCTACACTACAGAGAAACGCGCAAATCGCTTTGAGGTGAACATGAAATGTATGATGTATTTAATGTAACACGGTGGTTTTGACTGTAACGGCCGTTCTGATATCGTATCTGCCTCATAAAATATTGTAATCCCAATAGTCGTAAAATTAGCGTAAGTGAATACCATCATTTACGCGTTTTGCCGCCACCGTCGCCACTATCCTGACACCTACGAGGCTCGGTAGAGGCAACGCAAACGCAATAGCCCAACCCTGTGTATGTATGTACATAGTACTGCTACATGAACAAATGATGTGCAATGTGTAAACAATGAATACCCGTCTCACACTGTAGCGTAGCATGTCTTCAGTGATTGTTCTGTGTTGGCAGGGGCTCCGGAACAGTCTTCGAGCTTCGCTCACTCGCTTGCCTGACCAACCGTTGCCCAGGGTTCTATCCAAACCAAACTACAGTCGGTCGGTGCCGTTTGCCACCTGCATTCGGCTGTACGTTTTTTCCTCTACTGAAGCGCTCACGTACAAAGTTTTACCAAAAGGTCAGAATCAATCCATGTGTCTGGGTTTTTGATATTATTTATTATTATATATACGTAGTATCGCACGTCTGGTAAAAACGACCA